TAAAGTTATTACGCCATTAAACACGAAAGTAAGATGGTATGGTTCAACCTTTGGTTGGATGAAAAAAATTAATAACGGGCGAAAGGTTAACATTACGACAGGTTTCTTAAGTGCACACAGGGGCGTATTTTAACGATTTTTATCGTATACAAGATACTGGAATTTTTACTAATGTGTATTTTCGGTAGTTTATTTTTAAGGTCGTTTAACTGTTCGTCTACATGCTTTTGTTCTAAATAAAAAAATGTAACCTAAATCGTGCTATCAAAGCTGACTATTCAATTAGCTTACTGTTATAGTTTTAAAACAAAAACGTATTTTCTAGACAATTAAAATCTTATTTGTAGTTTAATAGACTTTTACAAAAAAATATACCGTAGCTTTACAAACGTTAGTATTCTTATACATGGGTGTCCAATTTACTGATAGTCTATCAGTTTAAAAGTTTTTGTATATTCGACGTATTGTTTTCATACACACGAATCTCCATTTATGCAAGCCAATGATGATGATACTGCAAGTAGTGAGAGATTTTTGAATTTGTTTCACATGTCATTACAAACACTCGAACTATAATTTTCAAGCGATTCACTGCATTTAAATTTAAAAGCGTATAATTTGTGTATTTAAATTTTAAGTTGGGTTTCTGTTCTGATCAAACATCGATCTCCAATTAGATAAAAATTCTCTTCTGTTATTATTTACCATTATCCATAGAAGGAATTTTGAGAAATAATAATCTAATATCGGTATGTATAAATAGACCATATTGCAGTATCGTAATGATTGATGTTTAGACTATAAAGTGCAAAAATAGTGGTAGATATAGTTTCTAACGAACTGATAGTAGTTTTATATTATCGATAATGCAAATATGTATTAATATCTATCTATATATAATTTCTAAGAATACACAACCCCTTTTCCTAGTATAGATATATGCTTTCTCTAACTATACCATATGGACATACGGATTAAGTAAATTCGGTATAAAAAGATTAGATTATACATAATAGCAACTGTGTAAATGCTGGCGATAAAAAAAGCCTGCATCAATAAATTAAATGTAAAATAACACTTTTTCAAGCACATTTTCAACTCGAAGAAACACAGCCTCAGGGCGTTTAGGAGTTAATTTCCGAAATTTCCATAAATCATCTGAGAAAGTGAACTTAGTAAATGCGATTGCAACGCTAACATTACCCTTCGACTGGCTTAATGTCCTAATGACTAACATAAAATTAACCGTTTTTCAAATGCCCTGCCGGAGAGAGCCGTGAGAACTACTTAGATCCTCTCGTGACTTCTCGGAGAAGCCTCTTCAGAACTTAGCTTTGGGTGAACGTGAACGTAAATAAATATACGCCTGGCGAGCGCGTCTCTTCCACTTTTAGTTGCGATCAATTACCGTTCGTTGCAGGTACGGATTTCGCTTTGTCAGGTCATGAAGTAATTACCAACAATTTGAGCAGAGTGGATTCGAAAAAATCGCGAAAAAATATTATTTTTTTTCTGTTATTCATCGGTACAAATCTCGGAGGTTCTTTGTGCCGGCCCGCAGCCACAAATCAGAGAAGGACGGAAATTGTGGTATTCCGAAAGCTCGCCAGATATGCGATAAATGCCGAGCCAGGCACTAAAAAATTATTGTGCGTATAAAGTTTTAGATTGCCGTTGTTTCGAGGAAACATCAAGAATTTAAAAACGAGAAAGATAAAAGGCGCTGAAAGAGAGAGGCCGGGGCTCTTATCAAATCACTTTACGTCTAAAAGCTCGACCACTTTTATGTGAGTAAGATGTTTTTAAAAATAACCGATAAGAGGTTTTGTTTTATGTGGCAATCGAAAAATACACTCCTCAATTAACCACTCGTTTTCTACAAATAAAGTACTTATAATAAATTTATGAAATTATAGATTTCAACAACCTACTTATTTTCTTTAAGCATGTTGCGTAAGTACGTAGTTTCTAATTTTTACTACTGTCTATAAAACAGCGCTCGATACACCTGTCAAAAAGCATCTTTGAATACCGAACCTCCAAAATCTTCAATAGCAAGACGATTGCTCAACGCCCAGGCACATCAGAACAAAACGTGTGAAAGTAAATTCTAGGATTTAACCTTTCGAAGATATTAAAGTCTTCGATTCAATGCGAGTATTTTCTAGGACGCGGCAATTCGATAACGGAAAATAAGATAAATGTCGCGAACTATTGTATTTTGTACTAACATCTATGGACAGCGGCTTATCCACAGGAATTATCAATTCTAAATTTATTATTAAAACATACTTAACGTCATTGGATCCTAAAATATTGCTATTTGATTTAAAGATACCTAAGGTTGTTTTTTACATGGAGTCGCGCGAGTACCCTCGAAAATAAAAATTTCGCCGCACTCGCTCCGTTAAAGTACCGTTAATAAGTCGTAGAGTCATCGCCGGTAAGGTACCAATTGAAGACGAAGAAACAATAAGGAATATATTAAAAAGTTTTCGGTTCGACTGAGCGCCTAACGTATGCCGAAGGTGCGGCGTTTCTATAGAATTTAACAGGGGGTTTTTAGCTATTTAAATATTCCATTTTCGTAACGTGTAATAAGATAAAAACAGCCGCTCCAAAGTCTTCCAGGCATTTTTTTGATTGTAGTCGAAGATTAGGTAAATGAAACTTCTAATGTAGTTTGTCGATGCTTTTAGGATAGTCGTGTAAATAGTAAAGTAAGTAAATCGAATTCGAAACGGGATTTCCCAAAAGGTTCGGACACGTTTTAGAGCGAAGGGAGGAAGTGATTGAATTAGAGAGTATTGGATTGTCGTTTTTTTTTGTTACTCCCTAATCATTAACGTATTCTAAGGGCTTTAACCAACAATTAGGAGTGCATTTTAAGAGGATGATTCAGCAGTGGGTGTATTTATTGCAACATTTCACATATAGGGGGAGTTAAAGTAAATTAATTAAATTAGACTTAAGTACGCATACATTCGCTAATCCCCAAACTGCATAATCATCAATAACGCTCAGAATATTTCGTAATATTATGTTTTCACTTTTTTAGTTATTGTAGGTTTACTGTTATACCAGAAGTAGGTTATGGAAGTGTGCAATCAATATGGAAGTCAAAAAGAAATAAAATATGCACAAAGGTACACATATTCCGTGACCCTAATTTCCCATATAACCGCCTTACCATCGTCGTAAAACTAACATGCGGGTTCACTAACTTCTTATCACATCACTGGAAGTGCCAGTATGTGCAGTGAAATTGTTTACACATAAATGTATAATTTAATTATGCTTGCGCTCCTCACCATTATACCTACCGCGCACAAGAAACGGCTTAAAATTCTCGGGCAATAATTTGAAGATTATTATAAAAATTTAAGGACTTAAATACTTTAACCGTACGCGTTAATAAATCATTTCGTTCTCTAATCCTGACAACTTGATTGTACACCAAAATCGAGCATTTAAAAAATTTTTTGGTCTGTAATTTTCGTTTAATCACAAGGTTCGAGAGAAATTCGTTATACGTACCCCCGGCGAAGGGTGGTAACAGTTGTCAGAACAAGGGTATATTTATTAATCCCGCTTCAACAAAATGGAAAGTTAAATCCTAGATTTTATTGCCATGCAAATGCTGCAGATTTGCATTTAAACACTATCTAAACTTTCTGTAATTAAATTTATCCGAGACTCAATTGTGATACACCAATTCCAGTTATACAATGATGAAAAACCGGCGAATATTTAAAACATAATTATACAGGGTGAGTCAATCTTTGCATTGTAATTTTTTTAATAATACCTATAAGCAGTTAGATTAGGTTACAGTACGTTAGGTGAATTGTTAATAACATAATAGGCCCCTACTAGGTGTATGTATCCTCTTGCTTCATATGAGGGTGTTACCTAGAAACCGCAATGAGTACACCGGATATCTTGTGACATTGGAAACCATTATTCCCATTTCTACGAAATTTCACTTACTCACAGAGCAGACTTGCAATTATTCAACGTTTTAATTTGATTCGCTACAAACCGTTAAATACTAATAAAGGATTGGATTTCGATTGAAATCTTTTTTTTTGTTTTATACGGATGATTTGGCATCGCTTTTGTACGAATTGAAGTTTGTTCTAGATTTTTGCATCTTTGGCATGCTTTCACTAATGAATTTTGTTTTGTTACAGTAAAGTTTAGCAATTATGTGAATAATGAATGAGAGTCTACATAATTTTAAAACAATTTTTACATTAACAAATTTGTTCACTATCAAAGCCTTTGATAGGAATAAGTGTTTACTATATTTATGATACCCTTGAGGATGTTTCAAAAAATTACTCCTGCTTGTGGCTATAAAAAGCTATCAAATGTTCCATTGATTTTTTTACTTCGAACAAACAACTGTTACCAATTTGTTCTTTCCTTCGCTTGATCGTTTATTATAATTACATCCCTATCTATAGCAGAAATAATTACATATCTTGGCTTTGACATGTGTTACACCCTTTAGGAAGGGTGCATAACGTATCATTAAAGCAATTTTACGGGGTAAAATTTTAAAGATTTCTTTCCGTTCCAATTCGATACCTGCTTTATCTCGATTGCCATAAACAAAGTGTAAATTTCGGAAAAATGCAAAATTTTCTTTTAAAGTTTAAGAAGCTTTTAGAAGATTAGTATGGTAAAATCGTTCCAAGAACTTTAAAGTAAATGGGTTTGTTTTGGAATTTCTATTCTGAATATACTGGGGAATATAAAATTAAGTATTATTTAATAGTCCCAGGCTCGGTTAATCTTCTGGTTAATGTTTCCATGAAAAGAGTTGATGAATTGCCTAATAGAATTTTGGATATTCTATTATGATTTCCTGTTTTTGTAATAAAGTTTATAGGTGCTTCACAAATAAGCTGGCAATTTTGCATTTTGAATGAAAATATTTGCATTTTAAATTTGCCGGCTTATTAAACAAAAATATAAAAAAAATGATCACCAACCTCAATATTAGTTAAAATCGTGGTGCATTCATTCTGCGGCACGTTGTCGGACACTCTAATCACCAGATCTTCGTAGGCTCCGTTTCTAAGTTCTAAGGCACCCGTTAGTCCAAATGCAACAATAGCGCACAACAAAATTCCGGTACTCATTTTCCAGTCAATCAGTCCGAAACCCATCAAAAACTCATGTCAATGCAACGCACAAATTCCACTCGAAAAGCTCCCACGAAAATATCACTCGGTACTTATTGATCGGTAACCATGGTACGAAACAATAACAACAGAAACCAGCAAATCGTTCGTTCGAGCGGCTCTCCAACGTGTTGCCCACGCTACTACTACTACCTCTTCGCCAGCGAGCTGTCTCGACTGAACTGAGCGCACTGTATAGCTGTATAGCCCGAGTCCGTGGATGGTTGATGGTCCTTCGGTCCTCCCACTACGTGAACGCAAGACGAGCGCGATGCACTTTGATGCATTCGCAAGTATAGCACCGTGTAAGGCTGGTAGCGATCGCCCGGAGCCCCGGAGCTATTCTTCTTCCCTCACCACCGAGGCGCGCTTAATGGCCGAAGAAGGAGTTGTTGGATCTTTCTCACGAGTGTTTGGAGATGCATTAAGATATGCAGCGGTCGACGTTAGCCTTCTATATTCTATACAATAATCGCTTGATGTAATAATGAATTTTAAAAATTTGAAAAATATGGTTTTGTGCAAACTGTTACATCTGGTTTCGTACAGTAAAAATATCCCACAGTGTTTTTATCGCTTGAATAAACTCGCGTTAAAAATTGTTTATATCACGTAACGACTATAAAATAAACCGTAAAATATCTCGATCTTTATAAGATTTAGTTAAAATAAACGAAAATGTTGCGTGCATTTTGTAAATATGGATTCATAAACTGCTCCCATTTAGGGCAAACGAGCGTAAATAGACCATTTAAAAAATTCACTATTAGTTTATATTCCTGGAATGTTTGAATTGGCTTGTGAAATTTCTCAGCGCATCTGGGAATGTTAATAATATTTATGAAGAATTTGCTCGCAATTTATTTTAACATTTTATCAATCAGCAATCAGCCAGTTGTTCGATTTGGAAATTCTTTTGTGATCTGCACGCTGTTTACAATATAAAAAATTAGCATTTTTATCCCGTATGTAAATTTTATTCGTTCGGAATGAATTTATGGCATGTTAATGACATGTACTGTTCTCGAAAAAAATAGATATTTCACGGAAAGAAGACGTAATGGTTCACCTCTCATTAACCTTTTGTCGAACGTAGGTCAAAAAACCGAACATGTGCTATTGAATTTAGTTGAAAAAAACGGCCGTTTAACACAGGAAACAAGTGGGACGGTCGTATCAGTTCTTGAGTGCTTTGTAACAGATAACATTGATTCTAATTGTTTATTGAGCGGCTTAACAACATTTTCTAATTTAGAATAATTAATTTTACAAAAAATACAGTACTTGTTGTATTGAAAAACATTTAATCGTGATATAATTGGTAATGGATAAAGTGGTAACGTGAAAAGTTCTCGACCTGAATCATTTAGAACTGTCTAGAACCATTTAGAATGCTCTAAAATAATTTAGAACAGTCTATAACAATATAGAACATTTCAGATTCATTTAAAACTGTCTAGAACCATTAATAACGCTTTATAGTCATTTAGAACGCTTCAGAATAAATTAGAACTATCTAAAAACATTTAGAACGCTCCAGAATCAATTATAACTGTCTAGAACCATTTAGAATGCTCCAGAGTCATTTAGAACTGACTAAAACCATTTAGAATGCTTCAAAACTATTTAGAACGGCCCATAGTCATTAAGAACGCTCCAGAATCCTTTAGAACTGCCTAGAAACGTCATTTATAACGCTTCAGAATTATTTTGAACTGCCTAGAACCATTTAGAACGTTACAGAATCATTTAGAACTGTCTCTGAAAATTGCGTCCAAATTTAGGCCGAGAAGTTTTCACTTTACCCTTGTATTTTTAACTTGAATTACTTAGTGCAGGCGATTTTTGAATTTTTCTTATATGTCGTAAATGAAATCTTTACAAAATGAAATTTTTACCAATATTGTACAACACACATATTATTACTGTAATTATCGTTAAATTTATCGTTTCTCCATTTAAACTACCACAATAGGTAAGAAATAAACGATACAAGAATGTAATAAATAAAATCTCCAATTGAACAAAGTTGAGGTATTCGTATTTTATAGCCAGCAATTTCATTGAAAAGAAACGGGTTTTAAACCACCAATCATCATTTTCACTGGATATTTCACATTTCCAGCTCCGCACTAAAACGAAAACCGTGAAAAAACCTGAATATAACGAACTCGTCGGTTATTTACATACACATTGTTGGAGCCGTTTGATAAAGGATATATTTTAAATTTTTAGAACGTGACGTTCGCCGTTTCGTAGGGATGAAGGAAGAACTGGCTGCCTTTGAATCGGACACGTTTTTCCTCTATAAAAATGCACCTTTAGATGTTTCTCGCAGGTAATGAATTACTGTGTCAGTAAAATGATTAACAATTCGAAACGTGAAATGTGTGAAAGTCGAGCCCGAGCAGGTTTCGATGGTGCGAATAATGCCCCATTCGTGATCATTGGCCATTTTGTATTATTTCTTTTTGTCTAAGTACCATTCAGTACTTATGTTATAACTGCACGAAGGCTATACCAGTATGTTATACACATAGCGAGCGTGAAGGACATTGGAAATTTATACCTTATTGTTTAAAAAAACATATTTTTATACAGTGCCTTCTCAAAGCGATGCTCCAAGCAAACTTGCTTTACTGAATAACCCTGTAACTTAGACAATAACTATTATTATGCGATGATGGCGAATAAATTATTAAGCGAATTTTAAAATCTTGGATGGTATAATTTCCCCTTCGTTAGCATTCGGAAAAGGATCCCGCAAAAAAACTTGGGCGGTAACTCCGTTTTGAACTAGCTATAAGCATCCATAATTTATAGATCAATCCGGGCATTACTGTTTGTTTCAATCTATATTTAATAGTTTCATTCCGACTTTAGAAGGGCGGAACCCTTGTCGTGTCCCTTGTTTGAGAACAAATACGTGTTAGGGGAAAATCACCTGCTGAAATTGGCGAAATGAAACGAGGGCTACTGAAGCGCTGGTGCATTGATGGAATGTCTCAGATCGCCTTCAGAAGCATTTTTTATCCGATTTTCCCCGGAGGGATCAAACCTAAATCAAAGACAATTTAATAGTATAGGCGTAAATAAAAAATTCCTTATCCAACATTGCATTAAATAATGGAGTACCTATACTGACAATAGTGATTCATCCTATTTTGACGAAATTTAAAATGCCGGTCACTAAAACATCCATTTCCTGCTTTTATACGAAAAGCGCATCTCATATTTCCGAAATGCATAAAAAGTGCGTACCGAGTGGAACGCCCTTTAAAAATCAGTAATGCCTATATCCCGACAATAGCGACAATATGTTATTATAAGCGCATATCAAATAAAGGTTCGTTCGTATTTCCTGTCCCGTTCGTTCGCCAGAATCGGTCTTAAGTTTAGACGAATATTTTTCGTTTCAAATTAAAAAAAAAAAACAAATTTTAACGAACGGAATAAAACAGAACTCCGAATGATTGGAATAATTAACAGTTGAGTTAACTCGAATTAATCAAAACGCGGCTAACGAAAGTTTAATGCGATTACGAATTGCCAATTCCACCAATTTTTTCGATAAAATATCAACTTGTTAATGCATGCATATTTTTTATTACGCATTCGATAGCGATTCTATTAATATAGGATTTGTACAGCTCGGCTTAAGCCTGTACTGCACACACACTTCCTCTTTCTCGTATTTCAGTAGAACTTTTGAAATGTGCAAATGCAGATATCATTGACTCTCTTGTGATTTATGCCCGTTCCGAGAACAATGTGGAAGTACCTGCCGGAGTTGTCTTGGGAAATTACAGATACTTCAAATATTTACATTTCGTTAGTTCCAAGACTTTTAGGGGGGTTGATAATTGTCCGCACAAGGGGAATTAAGATTTTTGTAAATAGATTTAATAGGGAAGATTTGAATACGAAATTGTAAACACGAAGGGCTAAGAAAAGTTTTTGAGTGAATTTTCTCATTCGCAAAATGCAAATTTGTTTGAACTAATATTTATTTTTATTTCTTTATGCACAAAAATAAACGAATTCAACTGAATAGGCCCGGCACTGGCATTACGTGCTGTATGCTCTCGAAGCAGGTATTGGACATTGGTGACATTTTATAATGTTTGTCATTACTCAAACAGGTAGAGCGGAAATTGTCCGGCTTTCGGAAGTCGTCGAGTACCGAAGAAAACACTTTTAGATAAAATTTAACACGGAGGACGATCCGTAGACGCCACTAAAATCTGGAATTTTAGCGATGAAGCCGTCTGGTCTCTCGCTATTGTTCAGCCCAGATTTTCAGATACAAGAACTTTTACAGACTAGAAAAAAAATCTATTACACATTACATTACTATATTACATTCTATAACAAATAATTATTTTTCAAAGCTGTTCCCGTGGAGCCTTACATTTAAAAATAAACGCTAATAACTTAATTATAAAACTCGCGAAAAAAAAACATTTCTACTGTTTCGATTAAAAATTACAACTTACAACTCAATTAGGAAACGACTTGCGAATTAAGCCTGTATAAAATGTATTATGAAACATCTTCGGCTCTCATCATGCTCGTTGTGAGACCGATAATTTTACAGCACTCCGCCCGGAGCGCACCGTAATTTTGAAAGTCATGAAAGCATTCGTTAATTGAATGAGTTATTGTACTTACCTGCGACTTATCTGATCAACAAACCCGAGTTTGTCGTGTCATTAACAACGCTGGCTGGTAAATTAAATGCCAGATATCGGCTGTCCAGTCGCCAAATGCTCGTACCTGTTTCAAAGGATTAGGAAGAACGTCTGCGAAGAAGGTTGTTTTATTATTCATAATTCGAGTCGTAGGAAAAGCTTTTGCTATTAAAAAATTGATCGAAGTTTGGAGACCAATGTAGAGGAAACTTCAAGGGTAAAAAGTTTTTTCATCAATCATTTCGTGGATTTCTTTATGAAGATACGGAAACCTGAGTTCCTTTCCTTGGAGTTTCTTGTTTGTATCGCGCGCATATCGAATTCTCCGAAACTTTTTTAATTTATTACGAACTTGCACTTTTCTGAATAAAATTATTTTTTTTTAATTTTTCATCTCGATATCCTAAGAAAGTTACTAAAATCAAGTACATGGCTCCTCTGAAATGCATTCCTTGCAAAATTCATGTGTATCATAAGTATACACGTAGACAAAATAATTTACATGTAGATAAATTAATTATATAACTGGTGCACGTAATATGAGATATACTTAACTGTTGTTTGAAGATTCCCTTCGGTTGTATAGCTGATAAGCAAATTTATATTGAGACTTGTTCCAACAAGTGTAATTCGCAGAATGTTTAGATATTAATACATCGATAACATTTAGCCCGGCTAATTTTCACATGGATTTTATTAGCTCCTCTCCAATCGAATCGGAGATAAAAATATCGTGAACATCCGCTAAATTCAATAGCTAATTCTTCGTTAATCCGAAATCCAACTAGGAAAGGTTGAATACTTCTATTATACAAACCTTACGTCGGGATTATTAACGAACCAACGTCTTTTGATAAAAATGTCTGAAACATAAATCTTAAATCCTTCTTCGCATTAGAGGCCGTGCAGCTTGGACCCTTTTAAAAGGCTCTAAATTGCGTGAAACGAGAAAGAATGCTCGGCTTAAGCAGTACATTGTGGGCCTATTATATCAGTACGAAGCCTCCAACCGCCGTGGAATCTTTAGAACGTTACTTCCCCGGCTCATTGTCTGGCACTTTTTTATTTCTGCCCTGCATACCTGAATTATCGCAGACATGTCGAATTGCATTAGGATCCGTCTAAGACAGGAAAGCATTCGTTTTCATTTGTCAAAATATTTGGGGAAGAAGGCGACGAAGGGAAAAGGATCAGGATTATTCCTTCCTCGGGCTCGTTCGCAATTTTAAAATTTATCTAACCAATGAAATTATGAATTACTCCTCTCTTCGATACATTCGTTTCGATTTGTTGGCGTGCATCCGGTCAGTACATAGTCGTGCTTTGTTGAAAAACGGAAACGGGGCATGATGGCATGCTAATGAACGTACAAATCTTCTTGAAATGCACCGTTGATTCCGGTGATATATTAGATTTAACGGAGAGAGACGCACTAAAATTAACTTGACTTTAACAAGCGTTCGAAAATTAAGGTGATCTAACAGTGTCTACAGATCGACAGGAATAGCTGTCATATATGCGCAGAAGTAATTCGAATAGATGAATCACCTTGTATAAAGAAGCTTATTAAATATTAAGAGCAATGTTTGAATTATCCACTAAACAAACGAATCGGTCCAAAACGAACCCCATCTATTCAAAATTCGCATTTTATAATTAAATTTTCTCGATCCCCGTCGTAGCAACGACCCTTCGCGAGGCACGCAATAACAACCCTCGTCTCGCCGGAGTCCGGTTAATAGTTAATGCAGATACATATTTTCCACTGAGACAGGTATAACTTTCGCGTTTATCGATTCTTCATTGTATTATAGAAAACCTCCCGCTATAGCGACCGGCTAGAGGAAGATCAAACAAGCCCGTTCGCAATGCTTGATTTCCCCGTTCCCTCGTTCTCGATAATTTACTCGTCCTTTTGATGTTCAAAGGGAGCTACACTTGTTGTATGTCCCGAAAGAAATGTTCGGTTCCCACTATGATTCACCCAGATTAACGAAGTAATTTCTCGTTTTTTGTTTGCCCAAATTCAGGAATACACTTTATACAGTGTCCTCATATAGTCTCTTTGTTCACGTGATCTGGAAGCTTTATATATTTGCTGTATAATACTCTTATTATATTCAAAAGAAACAGTATAATTGGGCACGAGACCTTGGCGGTTTCGGCTATTGTAATCGATCTGTAGGTACCTATTTCAATTTTTTTCCAATTAATTCCACGAAACGAGCCGCTGAGCATCTTTTGATGAATTTGTATTTCGTTGGTCGGGCCCCGGCGAATTTTCTACCCCTATATTTGGACGCGCATCGGAGAGATTAGCGATTAGAAGGGCGCGTGTCGACCAGACTTCTCCTCTGTACATACATGATTGGCGTCGAATAGGACGTAATAGGTTAAGAGGAAATTGTATCTTGTGCATGTTCGGATACCCGTTTTCCCAGCCGGTATTAAATCTATTTCGGGGGATTATTCCCGAAATAATGCAGGCGAGACATGTGTACTGATGAGTGGGTACGCGACATATTCGTCGTAAAAATTTAAGGGCAACGTCCCTTTTATGTTACGGGATAGTTGATGTCACGCCCTGCTACTTTAGATAAATGATAAATACTGCTATTTTATTTTCAACGAGCAAATTTGGATGGATTACCAATTCAAGTAGCAGCATTTGCATGTTAGATAATCTAATTAAAGAAGAATTGGTTACCTAAATAATATATGCTGTATAAGTAATTCTAATTACAAAAAAGAAGTAGTAAATATCACTCGTTCTGATTCGATCTTTTTGCACTGATTCCATTTCTTGGCAAATTAGGAAACTTAGAAGCCCGTTGTTGATAAATCAATCGTATATTTAAATTAGTCATTGTTTAGTAAGTATCTCATGTATGTTAACAGTTAAGGAAAACACGGTTACTGCCCGTTTATTATCGCATTTTAAGCAGATGAGTAGGTGAACCGAATACGAATAGAAAGATTAAACGATTTGTTTCTTCCTCGATTGTGTAGGGAAATCACGTATATCCTTAAAAAAAGTTGGCCATACATACAGAAGTATGTAGGACATTTGTTTAAAGAACTTGATTAAATTGAATTTTAATTAAATAATCGTTTCTGATGTTCTTTACTAAAAATTATTCCAATCTAACTTGAGTTATTATTCATACATGTGTATATGCGAAGAAGAATTAAGCATTGTTGACAAGGAAATGGATATTTCCTTTGTACTGCCTAACCACATCCTCAACAATATTTTAGAAATAATTATCATAGGAGTGTCTACAAGTATTTTTCTTTGAGATTGCGTGTATTTGACATACTCTTTACGCAATCGGTAAATTATTATCTATCTATTATTGATTTGAAACAATTTTGGAATCGTTTCTGAAATTTTGTCCGTAGTTTACTCTTGTAAATACGCACTTAAAAACCTAAAAATAGGCGAAATTCACTCCCCAATGTTTCGTTTTTAAACTCATCATATTTCACCGGGCTTAAAAGATTTAAAAAAACTGAAATATAGACATCATATCTCCGAACTCCCCTCGTAAATTAAGGGCTCAGCCACATGTCCAGGAAATCTTTGAACTCGTTTTCGTTTTCTGGGATTCCATATACCTGCCGCCTCTTTTTAATTCTTCTTCCTGTTACTCCGACATGTGGTTCTTGTGCATGTAGAAGGCCCATTTACAAAGACATCGCTGTGGCTAACCAGAAAAACATGTGGTGGCCAATGCTCGTCGAGATTCGAATTTCATATAAAGTCCCAGCGGGACGCGCGGCGTTTAAAAGGCAATTTGTCAAAATTCGTTTCTTTCTCCGAAAAGTACTGGAGCTGCGAAGATAATTAGAAACTCCGGCTACGAGGGCCATAAATCATAATTTTTTAACGCTTCCAAAGCTCTAATAAATCCTTTAATTCTCGAATAAAGAGCGCGTTTAATGCATTTTGAGGTTTTATTTTATTAAGGCCATTCACGGGTTTAATGAATATTTCGAACACCCAAAATGATAAAGTATCATTAGTATTAAAATTTTTATGTAGGTAATATAAAAATAGAAAAAAAAATGAATCTATTTTTGCTGTGTCGTTCACTTCTATCGATAACCTCTCGTTGATCCCGGCTAGTGAGTAAATAATATCGATTAAACGAATTTTTATCCGGAATAAGAATAATTTTTAGGGTCAAGAAAAAAGGATATCAAACAAATGGATTTTACGATCCAATTAATATGGATGCGATTCCTAGAAACCTAAACAATAGTGCTTTAATTTGTTTATTTAGTGTAGATTATTCCTACAGTATTGTGCGTATGCGGGGTGGGCTGGTGATTAGGATAATTATTCAATTAAGCGCGTTGAGATTTGAACTGCATAATAATGATTAAATAAGATGTAATGCCGCTCAGTATAGTCGGAATTAGCTGGTTGTTGAACTGGAACAATCCAAAAAGTGAGAAATTTAACGGTAATGATTCTATTAAGTTCGTTAAATCTGATAGTTCTTGCTTCAATCTCGGATCTTCGATTTCTGTTTGCAAAACTTTGCACCAGGTTCCAAGGTCTTTTCCCAATTTTTCCACGCTGTCACAACACATGATGCTTCGCAGAATAAAGTACTAAAACAATTTATTAATATAATACAATTGCACCATTACTATGGCATCAAAGTTAACTTACAAAATGAAATAAGGTGAATGCTGTAGATGTGAATACAGCATTTTGTTCGATAACAAACTGATAAATCAAAATAATTTCCATGAAGCTGTTGGTTACTTTTAATAAGAACATTTTTTCATAGATGAGATTCGTATCTTGCATAATGAAATAAATATACTTGTAGCCTTTTTTAATATAATCTATATCATCCAATTTTAAACGTCGGTTAAGTGGTACCTTCGGCGAAATAAATATCACATTTTTTATTCGATTCAATTTTAACAATCTTGTTTTAAGAATGGTCATAATTCGTACGAACAAAATGTCCTCTAAAACGTACTTATTGAGAGTTATTGTTGCTAGTATCAATAAACTTTTGAAATACAAGTGTAATTTTTCGTAGAGAAAAATAAACATCATGATGGGTACGGCAATAAGACAGCAAATATCGAAAATTGCGATGGCTGAATAACTAAAATCTAACTTCTCGATGCTCCCTAAATGTTCGTCAAGCATCTTCACGTTCTCCAATACATTTTTCCATTGCTTGATTTTCTTGAAAATTATGTGAAGTGAAAACAAGCTGAAGATAATTAGCATAAAAGCTAGAATTACAACGAACATTCGAGTGAGCAAATACTCAGTATCCTGATATAAAATGCCCGCTAACCGTAAGCAAATGCCCAAACACAAAATCCAGAAAACAATAATCGCCACCGTGCTAATTTTTTTACCGGATTTATGCGGTACAAGTCCGAACAAAAAGCAAATTAAGTAGCAATAATTGAAAATTGTAATATCTTTGTTTGGAGGATTTGTTAGAACCATCATTTTCCGACCGATTTCTAAACTAAACTAAATATACTTTGTAACTTTAGAGAATTTGAAATAACAACTTACGGTAATGAAATAGTGATAGAAGCATTACATTTTCGCGTCAAATTTTCTTAAATAAATATAATTACTAAATTGATATACCATTTACTAATCTATTAGAAAATAGGTGCAAATATTATGTGAAAAAACATGTTCATTTTGTACATTTTTAAACCCTTATTGTTTGCTAACTAATATTTTGCACAATGCTAATTTATTATTGACAGTTGCCCTGAAATCTGAACTGTATCAATATGATTAAATAAGAAGTGATGCCGCCCAGAAGGCTTGGTATTAGCTGTTTGTTGATTTTGTAAAATCCTGCTATGGTGAATCTCAACGGTAAAGCTTCTATCAAAACACTCAAATCCTTCAGATCCTGCTTAAGACGCGGTTCCTTTACATCAGTGTGCAGGATGATGCACTTTCTGGCTAACTTGTTTCCCGAGTTTTCCACCCTTTCGCACAGAATTATCCAATGCACGATGAAAATCTGAAAAATTAGTGATTTATGAGTTTACTCATTGTTTTTTAGTTTGTAGAATAGTACAATTTGTACTTACACAGTGTGTAACTACATATGGTACTTGAATGAATAAATAAATGCTATTTTCATCGTTATCTGCATTGTTATACCACAGGCTATTTTGACAAAAAAATAACATCTCCGTGAAAGTAATTGCGAACCGCAGGAACATTATTTTACTGAAAACTTTATTAAATGTTTCCGAAGCGGTATATAGGCTTTTATACATTTTTCTGACAAAATTTAAATCGACGAAAATCCGGTTCTTGCATAACGATTCTTCAGTTTCCAATATATCTACCACTTTATGTAACTCCTTCAATCCTTTACGCAGGATGTTAGAAAACAACATAGCTATTTCATCTGCCAGCATGAGTTTATTCATCGTAATCAAAGCGTTTAAATTCAAAATCCAAGTCAATTTAGAATCGATTTGCTTCCGTATCGGTAGTAGAAAAAAAAACGGAAACACGAACAAGAAAAACCAAGTTACAAAATTTTTCGCTAGATATCGAAACGTTACCGGTTTGATTTTTCCCAATTTACGATCTATAAAATGTATTTTATCGACAATAGTAGCCCATTGAATTTTATTAATCACGCATCCGTGTATGCAAGCGATGTTAAATAGCGTTAATAATCCGCAAGCCAATACTACGAAAAATTTAACGTGCACTGGACTTAATGGTCCGCTATTGATCCGCTGCGAGTAAATAAATAACGCGGTTTCCACCAATTTCACTGTTAAAATCATCAACGTGCAGACGTTATTTAGTCATCTACTTTTAAAAAAATTGATGGGTATAATCCCCATGAAAGCACAAAAAATGTAATACATTTCGAATAATGCGATATCTCTTTGTTTGAATTTACTCAGGTTCTCTAACCAAGACATTTTCTTCGCGAAATATGTATAACACTCGTAATAATGCTAGCTAAAGTCGATTAATGAAATTAATATTTTGATAGTTGTTCTGTAAACAATTATAAATACGAAATAACATACATTATTGTTTTATACAAAATTGTAATAATTTTTAATGGTATTGAATTCGATCTGTTTATTTGTTTGTTAAATTATTGTTAGTAATTTAATTAATGGAAACAAACACGCGGGTTATTTATTATTGCGTACTTAATTTAGATTCAAATAAATAGAAGCATACGTACCACATTCATGTGTAAATATATAATTCCAAAAATAATTATATTGTTGATAGGCGCCCTGTCAAATATTACGTTAATAATATAATGGCAGAATCCTAAAATGTCCAGAAAATACACAAGCGCTCTAATTAGCATAAACTTCCCGAAATAAGCGTTAAAATTCTCCACTACGTTGAATATCTTCTTGTACAGCAAAGTTATGGAGTGAATTTCATTGTAAATATCTTCCATGAATAGTTTATCGTGAACGAGAGCTAATTTTTTGTCTAAAATTTTTAATCTTCCGTTCAGGATAGTCAACATTTGGGCCACGAATAAATCCATGAAATTTATTTTGAACAATGAAAATCCAAGTACAAATGTACTTAAAACATCACTAATTTCCTTTGGTCGTAAAAAGCTTATTATTAAGCCACCCATAACTACGACGAGTAGAATTTTTGAACTGAATACTATCAAATTGCTCGACGATTTAATTTTGCCCAATTTTTTGTCTATGAAATAAATACCATCAGTGAAACAAATCGATTGATCTCGTCTCCAAATTAACATAAAAGTCGAAGTTACATGCAATACCATAAACAATAATATTTTTAACGACATGGATGCGCTCCTGAAGTCATTATAACTCATATTTGAAGAGCGCAAATACACATTCTCCAATATCAACAACATTATTACAATACTATAGAGATCTTGTAAATAATATTTAACATATCTCGATGGCGTTACGCACAAAAACGCACCGATAACGCAGCTTATTCTCAACAATAAAGTATCATTATTGCGAAATTTTCGCTTCGATAAATCCATCGTTCTGCAGCTAACCCGGTCAAATACTAAAGTAGCCGTTAGAATTACAATTCTGGCAATAAACATGTTTTTATTCTAGATACTACACGCGTTGTTAAGTCATTATTATAATAATTTGCCATCGAGGAAATTGGTAATAAGCTAATGGTAATATTAGCATCGATTGTAATAATCTCACTTTTTAAATAATCGCTGTATTAACTAATTATACAGGATGGTGTATGTTTTATGAATATTTCGAATCGATTAAGGAGAGTTGCTGAAGTGAGTCAACTTCTGAAAAATGGTTTAGGCGCTCACCGGGTATAATAAAAGCTAACTTAGAGCGGGGCATTGTTTATTTGTAAACGGTTTAAAATCGTGGGGGGCGAGAGGGGCAGGATAAATCCTTTGAAGAATTTAAAGCGCATCTCTGGGCGAGATAACGAAACTCGATAGAAAGTAGCCGGCCGGTACGGTCCGTTTTCGTCGCGACCGCAAGTTATTTTAAGCGGCCATTTGTGACCAGGTCACGATCGAGGAAAAAGACCGCTTGAGCGTGAAAATGTTTCCGACAATCTGGTGTGAAATCTGTAAAAAAAGAAGGATATTTTACCTGTGTATACGGCGATCGTTTAGGCAAAAAACGAAACTCGAATTTCGAAATTTTTTCGCTCGGTCGTCGCGGTTTTTCGATAGAACAATGAATTTTTACCTCGGTATTAACGTTATTAACTTAAATTGTAGGTATACAGAATGAAATTAAGTCGTATTTTCTTATTAAAGCGAAACAGAGCGTACAGTGCATGAGACTAAAAATAATAAATTATATGTCATTGTAACTACTATATCACTCATTTGACTTACTATTTGTTATACTACAAAACCACGTTAATTACTAATAACTTTATACAGTGCCTTCTTAAAGTTCTACTCAGGTGACACCAAAAGTTAAGCAACACGAGTGGTATTTAACAATTACAAAATTTAATCGAGTGGCAAAAGGGAGTTTATTGCGCAAAAACTTCCAACCAAGTAACGTTACTATTCGAGCAGTAAATCAATCGAAACTCGTTACAACGCCGTCCTCGATTTGTTAGTTTCTTTTTTCTCGCAAATTCGAGCGAATCGCGTCTAAACAATAGAGCGAAATCCAGGGATTTATAGAGATGGGATCTGTGAAGAATGTACATGCAACCGTCATTTACCGCGACGCTGATTGACTGTTCAATGGACGCGCTTCGAAATCGACGTTGATGTAAAATCTCGTCGATGCATTCGGAAACGTTCTGGCAATCGATCCGCGGAAAATCTAGGGAAACCGCGGTTATTTCGTAATTGAAAGAGATTAAAGCAATTAAAGCTACTCGCGAACGCAAATCCCTGCTATGTGACTTTTGAACAAAAGGCCCGTTTACAACGTGGGAGTGTCACAATTTTTTATTTGCCCGTATTGTGAGCGCTCGATATATCAGATATTTAAGTGGTGTCACGTTTCTTTTTTTTTATTCATCCAATTTCTTTACCATTCTAATTTTTGTTTACGCTCGTCCGTATACAAATTAAAGTTCTTAAATCCCCGAACAGGAAATACGGAATATTACTTGCAGATGTTTGGTCTCAATCTACTTATATGCATCTTTCCTTTTGTGAATAAAAAATCGTGCAAGGGAAGTCCCTGGTAACCTAGATATAAAAAAGTATATCGAGGGATCGCAGGAGACGCTAAAAAAACGCTTCTCAGTGGGTGGAAATGTTCTCAGCTTACTTCCGTGAGCGATTTTGACTGTTCAATTTTTATAATTAATGGCTGAATGTGGTTTTTAGTGAGGGGCATTTTGCCTTTTCGGAAACATAAAATGATTTATTTCCTCGAGACAAATTTCCCTTTAAATAATTTGTATCGTGAGACACAAAAAATCCATTAGACAATGAGGTAAAAGTTTCATGCAACTGGGTATTCTTGAGGAACTAACTTCGATACTCTCGTTTCGCGGCGTTAAAAATTAAAATCCATCACGAGATAAAACCACGTATACCTTGAAAAAGGGTTGCATTATTAAAAACTTCTGATTGATGTTTACATTTTCGAGAGCGAAAATCTATTTGCGGCAAACACTCGGAAGAAATGGGTATGTGTTCTCAATCTCAACCTATTGAAAGGCGAAGCTTTTAATAAAAAACTATCCATTTTTTTTATGTTCCGTAAAATTAAAGTTTGGTTTCTTCGACTCCTTTCTCATGTCACAGTGATATATTTTTTATTATTAAAAAATCTTATCTGATTTGCACGGTCCAAAAACCACTCGAACGCATTCTTTTAATAAAAATCCTTTCATAATGCGATCTTGAAAAAAATACAATGCCATATAACTCTGTCGTTCTGCGAACGTCCTCCCCGTTTATCAAAAAAATTTTATTCGCCTTTGTCGCGTCTTTTATGAATATAATGCACCATAAAAAAGGATCTTTTATTTTTTTTCACCTCTTTCAATACGGAGCAAACCTTTAAGATAAATGGCAGTCCGAGAGATTTGATGGCACCGAAAATCAGGTAGCTGCACAGGGACGTGCGTAATCAATCAAGTTAGTTCTTTGAATTTTTTTGTATGTCTTATTTTAGGAAAATTCTAGTATCCTAAATTTTTGATTTGTTTGATTATATTTGTATTGTTTTAGTTAATACTTTTATTATACTGCGCATACGACCTTAGTGGTTTCAGCTATTAAATATTTACCTGGTCTGTAAGTGACAAAATTGTGTATAGTTTTTCTACACCACTGTACATAAGTCGCCTGTTTGTCTGTTAATCCGATTACTAAAAGAAGATTTCGTCCTTTAGAAATGCTGATGTATGTGTATTTAGAAAAAAGCTCCGGCTCCATTCTTCCACTATTTTACTGATTATGATAATGTCGTTAGATGGGCTTTATTACTTTTCGTCGGCTTTTGTTTCCATTTAGGACTCCTTGATTTTTGTGGGATAAGGATGAAACTGAAGCGATAATATTTACAAGAAATATTTCCACGTGTAGAGTGACAACAATTCTCGGGAAACGAAAAAAAATCTTTATGTACAATCATTTTTAGGATGGTAAAAATGAGTTGAGATTATTAATATCTTGTGAAGATTTCAGTAGTATGAAATTGTTCGCTGGATTTCTTATTATTTTAAAACCCCAGATAAACGCTTCTTTTTTTAAGTAAAGGTAAAATCGTTTTGATATCGGTCTTCTTTCGATAATGCAGAAGATTGATTGAATAGAATTATGGGTTTGTGGTTGTCGAACACAATTGTTTTAACCACAATTCATCGGTTCTCACACATTTTTTTTCAGTTTCAAGCTTGCGTGCATTCAATAAGAAAAGCGACAACAGTTTCATTCAGTGATATATTTTTATTTTCCACATTTTAATTTCATTTTATTTCGTCTATTCAACGTATTCCAGAAGCGGTTAGATACTGAAAATATTTTTTGAGTATTTCGTAACTATACGAATAATAGGAGCGAAAAGCCGGCCGACAGATGCGAGGTTTCTGTCCATTAAAACTTCTTCAATATTTACCGGGATTCTTCTGAAATGAACTTCCACAATAGCATTAGAGATATAATACCCTTAACCTCAAGTACTGCGTCTAATAGGCAAGTACAAAAACCTTAGGTCTCATTTAAATGGCATTATTCCCAAATCTCTTCAAGTTTAAGAGCTTTTAGTTAAAATGCTATTATGCTCTTCACTGGTCTCTTCATCTTTTCAATACCTTTGGTAGATTTTTCTTCAAGTAGAGCATATTATTAAAACAGGTGTCTATATCTAGTCCTTTAGCACTGTGTAGGTCTCAAAATAATTAAAAAATAATAAATTTTCAAATAAACTAGACGAGACTTTACCGGTTTTTGTTGCACCGATTTTCCAAATCGAAAACATGGCTGGGGAGTTGATTGAATTTGGAATTCTTTTGGTACCGCAGAGTTCGTTTAGATCACAATTATTGGAATCGTGCTGGCGCAGTTGGAGCCGAGTTCTTGGTCATTGTTAGGCATTGTCGGGTATAATCAGTCAAGAGTCTTGTCAAGGGAAAAAACGGGTATTACAAAATATATAATCATCGCCGTGAAACGAACGCAATCAGACTATTTAAGAGGCGTTGTTGGTAATGTTCGAAATAACGAAGGAAATAAATTGATTTTCCGGTTCGATTTTAAATATGTTTTATCGGATAGGAACATGCAGTATAGGTGTATAATATTTTAACGGATTTTTGTTTGAAATTTTATGTAAAATGTTTAAATATTTTACATTAAATAAATCCCGTTAATTTTAACTTATATTTGCGTTATAAATCATCTAGCAAGTACCCTCTGTAAATTTAGAAAATGTCAAATATAATTATATCCATCAATTTGTCCTCAAATTACTCGAATTAACAAACAAAGACCGTCGTTCTTTGGGAAATTAATATCTGGAAGAGATTATTTAACCATACTTTAACTTAATTACGAATGAAGCGGGTCTTTGAAAAGACCATCTAATTTCTACATAGAAAGATCATTGTGCGGTCTGAAAGGATTTTTTATATACAAGGTGTGCCAAATAATTCCAAAATTTTGTATTATCGGGTAAATAATTTTATTGCAAAATATCGAATTCCATATTTTATTAATTGCGTAATTAATGTATCAATCTTATACAGAAAATTCATTTTTCAGTATAAAAAAACTTAAATTCAATATAAAATTGAATATAAAAATATTTCCTTTAACATAATTTCATTTTTTGTATGGTAAATATATAGTGCATGTATAAGCTTTATTTTTAAATCACAGTGTATATACGTGGGTTGGCTGAAGAGCCTTTAGAATTGAATAGTATACTAAGTGCCTCAAGAAAAGGCTTCACTGTTACAAATTAAAAGAAGTACAGATACTTACAAGCACGTTATCCTATCAGTTCAATTTCGTACTAAGAGCTAATCGTAAAGGCATCCGGAATATTCAGCAACAGAGCTTTTATTGTTTGTAAAATTCGTAACAAGACAGTTCTTTCTTTCCAATATTCATCGTACCTCCAGACCGCACGTTTGCCAGGTGTTTTTTAATCCTAGACATGTAATTGTTTATGTCATTTCGTAAAAAATTAAAATCTCGCAAAGAAGAATGCACGAAATGATTCACGTATTCGTATCTTCACGATTTAATCAATTAGAGCATATTACGCACTCCAGTGTAGTGGTAATAATAGCAAACAGAGGAAGAAGAGCGAATAACTAAGAAATGAATTTTATAGACCAGGAATTAAAGTAAATATTTCAAGAGATTTCTTACTAGAATATTCATTTCTAATTAATAATAATAATAATAATACAGTCCCCGTTTTAGAGCATCTGTCTTCGGGTATTTATCACATTTATTATATTCACTTCTAAAGCGACATGTTCTTAAAAATGTTCTTCTATTTTTACATTAATTAGGGAATAAATTGGAAGATCTACTAGTTCCCCATATTATTCGTTTTGCAATGAGTTTGAGATTTATGGAAAAAAATCCATCCTTTCTGTACTATAACGAAATTTCCAGCTCACGTCCAACTTGCAGGTGTAAGCATTGCATTTCAGGAATCGCTCTGCCTTGGTTAGAAGAAATTATAGTATTTCACTATGACGGTTATGCGAGCCACGACCGTAACAAATATTTGAAAGATGTCGCTCGTCGATTAGAGGAGACTTTAGACTCGAATATAAATTGTATCATTTCAACTTTTTTTGTACACTTTTCAACGATTCCTGCTCGTCGGTTTTGCTGGCGAAACACTTGATGTACACTGAAAAAAAGGATCTCTTGATTTAAGGTAATATGCATTTCATTTAACGAAACGATGCTCTTGGTATAGTCCAACCCCCATGGGTTCTTAATGTAACCTAATTATTCTCTTGATCCAATACTCTTAAATCAAGAACCCCACATTTTAATACAAGAAACTCAGATTTCTTCATTTTTGGAAGAAAACTTGAGCCAAGAACATATTTACTTACAGTAAGCACCTATTATGTAGTATTAAACCCAGGTATTCTTCAATTAAGTACATTTTTCTTGTATCAAAGGAATCGTTTGCTTCTTGGGACTTCATTAACTCTTGTATTATTGCCAATATTACTTTGGATCAAGAGATTTATTAACTTAAGCCAAGAGCCAATGTTCTTAACAGAGGCTCTCCCTTGTGAGGATTTTTACAGGGTGGGGGTAGCGTATGTTTTCAAAAAAAGTTCCTATTAGAAGGAAAAAAACAATATATATATTAAACAAAAAAAAACAGAACACATGACTAACCAACTAAAACTAGCTTAATAGAAAATCACAAAATATGAACTTATAAATCAACTTATACATATAAAGCCTAAAATACTGCGAAAATCACAAAAATAGGAAAGTACATTTTGGTTTGGAACAATTTTATTTAAAACTGGCTATTAATAATAATACATATAATGAATTTGGGTGTAATAACTCCAATGATTTAAACGAAGTATAAGTTTCTTTAATCAAGTAACAAAATCTCTGTCGTAAGAGAAAAGATTTTTGTCAATTCAATAATGTTTTAATAACAAGGAATCATTTTTTTCTCAAGTGCAAATCTCTTAACAGAAGAATATAACCTATTTTCATTTACTTGGAATAAGGAAATAACATTAAGAAGAGACGCCATTTTTAAGATGCGAAAAATTAATTTGCAATGAAAACATTTGCCTATATTCTAATAAAAATATCTTAAATTGAAAATACCTGAACAAATGCAATCAAAAACCAAACCCTCCATTAAAATGATAATGATAACAGTGTCTAAATACATCAAAATGTCGAAAAATGTTTACTAACCATCTAATAATGAAGACAAATATACTTATTATAGATATTCTACCAGCGGCAACCTTGGAATCCTGATGCATTTATCCTCAGTTCGACTGATTTTCTGTTCCTTACTTCGAGTCTCTTTGCTGCAACGATGGCAGCGCTCGAAATTGGGTCCTCTGTATAAATCCATTATTCTAAAACAAACAAAAAATGCATATTTACTATCTACCTAAATACTAGTAGGTACTAATCAATCCTTATTAATCTTAAATTCCTAGATTAATTTGTAAAATATAAAAACAATATACATAAAAGTATAGGTATAATATATATACTTACATTTTGCAATTTGTTGAATTTGGTAGATAGTGTAGACACTTAACCCTCAAAAACCAAAAGATGTCGGCCTGTCAAACGAAGAAACACAACGCTCTACAGCTTAACTCAACGACTCAAGCTCAACGCTAGCAAACTATTTTCCACTACCATATACGACCCGATTTCACACGGCGCACTCCGATATTAATTACCAATTTCCAATATTTTATGATGAGAGCGAGAAATCTCAAATCAAACCCAAAGATTCTTAGTTGTAGTTCCGCACTTTATATAAGAGTTCCTACTGTTGTTTTAAGAAAAAATCTCTTATTTCAAATAATTTGTAATCAAGAGAATAATTTTCTTAATTTAAGAAACGAAAAAATCGGACATTTTCTTTGTACAAGAACACTTTATTTAATTTAAGACTATTTTACTTATAGGAAATAAATATATTTTAAGAGATTTTTTTTTCTTCATACAAGAGATCGTTTTTTTCAGTGTATAAATTAAAATGACCAGTTTTCCGTTAACGTGCGTTTCCTTCATTACACCATTATTTCAACTGTACTGTGAAATATATCTAATTTATTTATACATTTTTTGTTACAACAATTATTTACTAAATAACTAGCGTGTAGAGATTTTATTACAACCATAAAAGACACGAAAACGTAGACAAGTGACAATTATTTTACTAAAACGACCCTTTTACTTAATAAAATTACTATAAAATCGTTTAACGATCGAATATACGAGAAATTAAACCTTTATTTACAAGCCTCTTGAGACTTAAATTGTATCATAATGATCAGATAGGAGGTGATGCCGCTGATTAAGCTCGGAATGAGCTGTTTGTTGAGCTTGAAAAATCCCGATACCGAAAAGCTCAGGGGCAAGGCCGCTATCAGATTGGCCAAATCGTTGAGTTGCTCCTTGAGTCGCGGATCTTGCACTTCCGTGTACAAAATCCTGCACAGAACGCCCAATTTAGCGCCGGCATTTTCTACATTCTCGCAGGAAATTATCGAACGCACCACGAAAAACTGAAACAAAAAATTTTCGACATAACAAAATGGAATTATATAAACTAAATTTTTGTACATATTTATCCAGTATTGTGGGAAGGTTTCTTACAATTGGTTTAGATATATTTATTATTATTTGGTCGCGCGGTGTATCTGTATAGTTCAGAAATTAAAATGCACTTACCAAATGCGAAAAAAGGTATATGAAACTCGTATAGATTAAGGAGACAGCTCCAAGTTGGCGATAGACAGGCGAAAAAATAAATTGCAAAAAAATCAACAAACATTCGACGAAGTGTATAAGCATTCTTATCAACATTATTTTACCGAAAACAGCGTTAAAATTGAGATGCACTCTGTGTATCAATTTAAAACTGATTAAAATTTTGTGTATTTCTTCTGTTTTTGTAGTCTTTTTCGCAGTCTGCGACCGTTCAACAACGTTCCTTATCCTCTCGTTTAAAACGTTTAATCGGGCTTGTACATATTCTGTTACTTCCGCAAATATCACATCGATTAAGATTATCCTGTTCGAATTTATAAGCGCGTAAATCACATAAACGAAATTGGAGTAAAACGATTTTATGTGAAAATAAATTTGTATGGACCACGTTATAAAAAACAGCATGAAGTAAAAGCAGATCGTACAAACCCTGTAACAAGTGTACGAGGTGACTTTGAGCAATTTGTCTACCGAACACAACGCTTTCACTAGCTCCTTGAAGTTATCGATATTCCCTAGAACGTCGTAGAGGATGGCCAAATTTAATATCAGATACATCACGTTTTGTGCATAGAAGCTTATTTTGTTGTGAATTGTCGCTGCAGAATTATCCGGAATATCCGTTATAAACCAATATGCAGCAACCAATCCCAAAACTTCTACAAGACACCAAAATACTGTTTGGATAATTCGAAATTTCAGTCTGTTTCTGACGGGCAACATTCCGTGAGCGGCCGCTACGCCGAAAATTATTTTCAAAAATGAAAACTCATTTTTGAACATTCTGCTCCCCTTAACCGACGGTGCTTCTATGTTAGTAATTTCATGGATGTAACAAACATAATTTCTTGTTCGCTTATTGTTCTAATAATCCATTACCGGTGTTATTTATGTATGTATGTATTTCGTATTTCCCAATAACAGCTGATTAATGAATTATCCTTATAAGTTAAGTAATTACTCTATTTTTGAAGTACTTAATTTATTAGTTTCATTAAAGGTTTTACTGGATCACTATGAATTGTTATTACAAGCTATTATTAATTTATTCAAGTAGTGTATTTGAATCTTTTAGTAGTGAAAAATGCAGGATATTAATTAATTGAGTGCCGATACTTTAAAATGTTTATATCTATATATGTCCTAAACCTCTTTTTCATGTCTTCGGCTGCAGTTTTAATTGGCATCGCTCCCCGGTGGGGCGTGAGTTCTGGGCCACCCTGTATATAGATATAATAAACTTTCACGTCCTGAAGTATCGACACTCAATTAATTAACACCCTCTATAGCAGGAAACAAGTATTTTACATTGAGAAAGTGCCAATAAAATAACCATCATAGTCAAAATTAAAAGTATTTTTTTAATGATATTCAATTTACTTACTGTATCCACAATCGCAACGTATAGGGCTATAAATAACAGTTCGAATTTGGGCGCTGAGCCAAACAGCCTCTGCACAATTATCATGAATATGCCCATAATTTCGCAATAAATCAACACCAATCTAGCAAACAGGAGTTTACCGAATATTATGTTAAAATTTTGCACGGTTACGTACGTGGTTTTGTAAACTCCTGTGCATTTCTTTATGGACTGTTGCGTTCTCTTGTAACAGGAGGAATTGTGGACTTCGGAAGATTCGTACAACAATAGCTGCATTTTGGATATAACATCGTGAAATATGCCGGTGAACTGTATAATTAATATGTCTATCATAAACGATCGGTGTACGCATAAGGCACAAATAAATATATAAACGAAGGTGATGTCGTAGAGTAATTTAAGAAAAAATATACTGAAAACGATCAATAGTAACATTAGAAGTATGTTACTGATTTGTAGAACGAATCTAAACGGGGATATTCGTTTTTTACCAGCTGTTTCTTTTATGAAATAAGTATTAATGATGATTTTTCTCCAAATGTTGTAGTCTGAAAACGTCACTTTTATGCAGGTTAAATTAATGTAAACCAAGCAAACTGCTACAGTTATAAATACAGATTGGTTCTTTTCTAACCATTCAATAGTTGTTTCATAAACTACGTATATAGTTACACCTACAATAGTAAATAATGACACCAAGTAACCAATATGAGACAGTTTGTTTCTTTTGAAATTCCATGGAATTATACCAAATATTTTACAGCAATTCGAAAATATGTCTAGTATTAACATGTCTGTTATAATGCCCATTTTATTTTGAATTTCCTACTCTTTTCACTACTCTAACTCGACTAACAATTTCTTACAAGTCTTTCTTTATAAACCTACATTCCTTCTAATTACAGTCGTTTAAGGAGCTATTTTAGGAAATTATCGGAAAAGACGGAACTAATAGTCTGAAATATTTACCTACTCTAATTAGTTGATAGTATTAAATCTAGCGTAAAAATTCTTAAAACACATAGTATTAAGATATTACGGTTTTTTTTTAGGAAAATTATAATCTAATAAAAAATTTCGTATATCTATACAAAATTTATACTCACACAGTCAGAAAATGCTCCTAAGAAAGCGATGATGGTTCCTTCATTGAATTTATGATCAAAAAGTACTCGTAAGATCATGCTGAATATACCCATAATTTCTACAAACACTACTATACATCTAGCTAAAATAATGTTCTCTAAAACGATATTGATCTCCAGTGTGGTGGAATAAATTAATCTGTACAAATTTATGACTTTCCGGATTTTAGTAATTCCGAATTTATCTATTAGAATCGGTGAAGTGCTCAATGATTGGTGCATTTTTGATAATAAATGTTCCGTGGTACTCGCAGTATGGCAGAACAGATACTCTATAAATAAATGTCTGTATATGAGCATACTGTACAGAATTCCGAATATGTAGTTAATCTGATAAATCTTCTGAAAATATTTAGGACATTCTATGATTATAAAAATTATTAGCGCGAAATTACACAATTGGAAAAGTAAATATGATTTTGATACGTAATTTTTTCCGATTTTTTTCTCCAAATCAAATAAATTTCGCAGTACTTTGTTCCAATTATTGCGCTTAGCAAAAATCGTATAAAGGCTTGTTAGGTTCAAATAAGTGAAACAAATTGCACCTACTATGAAAACATTTTCCTCAAATTTTGTGCTATACCAGAATGATATAATGTTCATGAAAAATATTGATCCAACAATTGAAGTTATGATAAACGTCATACCGCATCTAGTGAATCTGTTTTTCTTATAATTCCAAGGAATTAAACCCAAAATTATACAACAAAACGAATAGATTTTTAAGAAATGTATATCAGTAATATAAGTCATATCTCTTAGGTGACACAAACTACTGTGAGGACTAGCATGCACTAAACTACTTCATTTAATTGCTATAAGTAATTGCATGAGCTACATATAATCTATAAATCTATAATTTTCTGTAATTTTCTGATATTACTATTTCGATCTCTTTGTTTGATTAAAAGAATATTAAATTCCTTTATTTAAAATGATGACTCTATTATTAATTTCACTAGTTTTACGCAATACGTATTAAATAAATAAATTTTAAATACTCACGAAATCGATAATAGCGCCCAAACAAGCGACAAATGTAGCTCCAGGATCGAACTTATCGTCGAAAAATACTTGTAAAATCACACTAGCCACTCCCAGGATTTCTACAGATACAACAATACCTCTGGCCAATGCAAGTTTTTCGAAAATAAGATTAAAATCTTGCAATATAGAATGAGTTAATTTATAGGCACATACGATGCTCCTTATCTCGGTAATTCCGAGTTGGTTTCTCGGGCTCGGGGATGTTCTCAATGATTGGTGCATTTTCGTTAACAAATTTCCAATTGAATTCGCAAAATTCCTAAACAATAAATCTATACATAGATATCTATAGAGTGACGCACTCAACAGCATTCCGTATATGTAGTCGACTTGAAACATAAATTTCAAAACTATAGGAGCTCCTATGATTACTAATATCATCGTTAATATGTCATATACGTGTAAAATTGTACTTGTTTTTGATAAATAATTTTTACCCAAATTTTTCTCCATGATTCGCATGTTGCACATTATTTTATTCCAAGTGTTGGGTTGAGTCAAAATGATGTACAGTCCTGTTATATTTACGTATGTAGCGCTTACTGCAGATACTACGAATGTATATTCATTATGAATTCGCGTATTCCAATAGGACAAATAGTGCAAGTATATTATAGATCCAACAATTGATGTTGCCATAGCAATCATTATGCTAATGGTTTTTCTATTTTTCTTGTAATTCCAAGGAAGAACCACAAATATTATACAGCAGTAAGAGTATAGTTTTAATGCAGTAATATCGGTAATAGGAGTCATTTCTGTATTGAAATACTTGCCATAAAAATGAACTATTCAATTCTAACACGCATTGTAGGAAACTTAATTCTCTATTAGAATTATATCTACAATCTATAATTTAGTATAATTTTCTCATATCACCTAATTTCATTATCTTGAATTATTAATTTACCTAATGAATTTATGTAGACTCGTGTAATATCATAAATTAGTCTTGCTAAAAATAACACTTAAATAGTTATGAATACTTACAAAGTTAATAATTCCAGTAAGGGAAGCCGCAAGTGCGGCAAAGTAGTTAAAATTTCGATCGAAAAATACTCGCAAAACCACGCTGCAAAATTTGAAAAAACACTATTATACCTCTGACCAACGCTAATTTTTCGAAAATACGATTGAAGTCCTGCACAGTGGAATAAATGATTGTATACGAATTTATTATTTTCTTGGTAGTAGCGAGTCCAAGCTGGTTTATTGCAATAGGAGAAGTTTTCAACGATAGATACATTTTTTCTAATACATTTTCAACTGTGTGTCCAAAATGGCTGATCATACAATCTATTAACATATACTTATAGAAGATCAAGACCAACAATACTCCGTAAATAAACTCGGTTTTATAATATGCCCGAAAAACTATAGGGCATAAAATAAACATTACAATTAATACTGATAAGTTAATTAATAGAAAAATCTCGCTCGATGTTGAGTAATTTTTGCCGAATCTTTTTTCCATGAGACATATATTACTCATCACTATATTCCACGTGTTGTGTTGAGTGAAAATCACATAAAGTCCTGTTATACTCATACATGTCGTGAATATTGCAATTGATGCAAATACATCATAATAATCAGCATGCATTCTAATATACCAGTATGACGAGTAATCTATGTATAAAATTGATCCAACAATTAAAATCACTAAAAACCCCATACTGCATACAGTTTTAAAATTTTCCCTATAATCCCAAGGAAGAATTTTCACTGTCGTGCAACAGTAAGAATATATTTTTAATATGTAAACATCAGTAAGAGAAGACATTTTTTAAGAATTATTAATTATGACTGCTTGTCGTAGAAGTTGAATTCTGGAATGAATTATACTTAATTTAACTGCACTTATTACATGCATTTATCTGTAATCTAGCTATAATTCATTTCTAAATTATATCGTACCTAATTGACTTATAATATTCCTTTATGCTCAATAATTGATGCTAAAATCTAAAGTGGTAATTTTTTATTAAAAAAATATGTGAATTATTTATAGATTTTATACATTTTTTAATTACTTAAGATTGTATAATATTCTAAAACTTTCTTAAGCACAAAATTTTTCATACAAACACTTCTAGTTGCATTCAGTTTTTGGGAAAATACAATGACTATTTTTTACACATTTACTCAAAAATATTCTTTTTAATGTCGTTACCAAAATGCTAATAGACTGCACGCATTTCATTCAGGGACATTAAACAGAACTCAACAAATCTTTTACAAATCGCCGTTCTAAATGGATATAGAGTATACAAATCTCGACTTCTCGCTGGCCATTATTCCTTTATTTGACAGGGGAGGTTACGCCTCTATTCCGAAAATTCCTGATTGATGAGAGCGCTCTCGCATTTGCCCCATTGTACTTATAGGTCATCAAAGGAATCTTTTCCTTCACATATGGTCAATTTACAGTGATTTGTGGCTGCAAGAAGGGACGCGTTTCGTTCCGTCACAATGGACAGAAGAAAGCCAGAAATTTTTATATTCCCCAATCGTCTGCTTTTTCGAAAACTTTTAAACGACTTTTTCGTATCAATTAGGTATAGCAAATAAGAATGGCAATTTTAAACATGTGGAGAAGATATTTAAAACTAAATGGTTCTTGTATTACAGCTTCTGTATACATATTTTTCTTTAGGATCTTTTCTTAATTATGGCCCCGGCTACTCTTTTTTTTATCACCGTTGAATATTGGTTTTGGGAGCAATTCGAGTGAAACATATCCCCCTAAAACGAGCGGCGAAATGGTCCTGGCATATTTAAATAATTAAAAAAATCCCATGTACACCTATAATCTTCGGTTATTCAGCGACCATAAGTGAACAGATATATCGCTTCGTTTCTAAGAACCCTCGACGGAGCAAATCTTTTCATGCCACAAAGTTGCAGTATGTAATTTCGGGCCGTTTTCGTACCGTCTCGCCGCCCCTTCTTTTTATTCCACGGGTTTTTTGTTTCATCGTGGGCGTGTAAAAACTCTTTTATGACGTTTCCTGTTCGGAATCCCATTCAATTTATACACGTGTTCGCTACGCTCACTACCAGCGGACCAGTATACACCCGGTGCATATTGCAATCGCGCCGAAAAACCTACCTGTTGGTTAATTTGCACAACTCCATAGTGTTTCTATGATTTGGTTCTGAATTAATAAGTTAGAAGATGTAAAAATGAGTTGTTGTATAGTGCTTTTATGAAGTAAGAAGTTAGGCAATCCTAGGGTATGAGCAGAACTTTATGAAGTCACTGTATGAGTACTCCTAGTGAAGGTAAGTAATTGTGTGAAATACAATTACTCCAACGCATCTTTTAGGTAAATGAAACTTTTTACAATTACAATACAAGAGGCCTAACCTTACTATAAGAATGTTGATCTGATGCGTGATAAATGGTCTATTTAGTTTTTTTTAAACACCTTATCGTTTACTACAATATGTCATCTACTTTTGATCATCTTACAATGCTGTTAAATTTAATTTTTCGAACCAGATGTTACGTTTCATTTTGTGGTGATGTGATATAAAAACTTCATTCATGAAGAAAGGGATATTCAATTTTTTGTCTCAAATAAATTCAAGATAAGATGATAAGGCGACAAAAATAAGTTTTGAGAAGAACTTGTATACAAATGAGCAAGCAACTTTCGCGAGTATTTCAAGCCACATAAACACCAGGAAATCAAATATCGTCGAGCGATTTTATGTGTTTAAAATGAAAATCCTGAAACTTTCCTGTGAATAAACAAAGCAAATGTCGATCGAGCAGCGAGCAGCTTTCCCCGCGTTTTGTACTCATTAAAACCAAACGCCAATTAGTTTTAATTATCCAAATGTCATAAAAGCTAGGAAACGTCTCCTTAAAGAGCCTATTAAATTCGTTTCTTTCACAATGCTGGTTTTTATTCGAAGTCATTCAACGCATTAAAGCCATTTATTTAAGTACCAAACACGCATCGAAAGTACTAGTACCTAATTAGCGAAAAAAACATTAATACTTCTTTGTGTAAATTTTTTAAATAATTTTGCACTAAATACAATATCTACATCTATGTATATTATTACATAACATCGTAACTAATTATCAAAAATATACATTTATTTTCAACACTCGAAATAGTTGAATCGTCCGAAGAAACGTAATAACTATAATCAAAGAAGGTGAGTGAGGTACTCGCTTGTGCCCGCCCTGCCTAAACTCCAGAAACAAAGGGACCTTGACAGCCGGATCATTATGCTGTCTAGATCTCGGGAAGATGAATGTGGATTTCGGGCAAAGCCGATAATAAATATAGTGGAAAATGTCGAAAACGAATGCCAAAACATGACGTGGCCCGTGTATAATTTAATTTCGGACTGGGAAATGTTCGAGCCGCGGACTGTATTATTAGGCGTTTTGTTTGGGGTGTAATTACATTGCACCTAAATCGTTAATTCCCACCGATTCTAATGCGATAGTAGATAATTCGATAACAAAAAACCTCGATGTACTTGTTTCGTTAAATTCTCTGATGCATTAAGGAAATAAGCGCGTTCGGGTTTCTCGAATTGGCTACCTAATAATTAAAAGTAAACGAAACAAAAGAAGATTGATCGGGTTTAATTTTTAACAGAATTGTAATTTTATTTGAATCAATCTCACTGACAGTTACGTTTTGACAGGTAGTGATATAGTAAAAGGAATTTTTACCTCTACATTGCTTGTTAAATTTTTTATACTATTTTTTTCAACAATATTATAAACGCATTTGAAATAAATTATGAACATTTTCTACTAACCATGGCTAAAAGACCAAAATAATTTTTAATGTACAAATTTTTGTAAAAACTATAAACTCTAAAATTTGTTTGCTACCATTTTGCTGAACACGATCCTGTTTCATTTCAAAATTATGATTTGGAAGCGCCATCTATGAAGTTTACCTAGAAGTATTCACAGAATTATACATTTTTCTGTAATGTTCTAAGTAAAAATAAACTAATTACACATGTTGTTAATAAACAGTAAACTAATAACACTTGTAATAAGTTTTTTACGTGTATTTACTCATTAATTAAGTAATTCTAGTATGTTTTCGATTGCAAATAAATAATTTTCTCTTGCTGTCAATGTCACTGTCAGTACTGTCATCTGTCATTCTGGTGAAACGGAGAAACAAACGGTGTATATTTGATTTAATAAATAGTTTTCTTGTAATTTATCAATCATTTATTTAATGGTAAGTCGATAAAATTCATCAAAAACAATTCCAGCGAATTGCGCTTAATTAAAACAACGCGTAAAGCGTATTTCCATCGGCGACAACTAGATTATAGCGCTCGTAAAAGTACTAACCATATGACTAATACCGCCGTAACTCTCTTTGCAGATCGTTAAAACCAAACAATAGTTAATAAAACAATTGGATTTCGCAATTCTTACGATGCCAACGCAATTCGTCGACGGGAATGCCAACGAAATCCGGGCCAAAATCGCCTACAACGGCGAAGTGCTGGTAACCTACATAGACCAGACCATAACGTTGGAGGAACTGTGCCAGGAAATGAGGGAAATATGCAGGTTTCCCTTCGAGCAGGTCTTCACGATGAAATGGGTCGACGAGGAGGGCGACCCGTGCACCATATCCTCTCAAATGGAACTGGATGAGGCCGTTCGTTTGTACGAAGTTAACAGGGACTCCGAGCTGACCATACACGGTAAGACTATTTTACAGTATTTTATACGAGTAAATGGAATACGAATATATTTTTATTCGTTTGCATATGCAGCATTGCTATCACCTATGAGTGTATAGTAAAATTGTTATTTATTGACTCATTCGTGTGATAAAAAGTTAGTTATTCGTAATTTTATTCTAGTGTTTTATCGAATTTACATGTGCTATCGAGTTGTTTAACCCTTTAACTACTTAGAACTACAGAGAAAGTAATATTTATTTCATTCTTTTATTCAAATAGAGCGCTAAATTACCATTATACATACAATTCTTCTGTATTATGTTGTTCAAACTATTAGTTTCAATATGAATTATTAATGAAAAAGTGGAAACTATCTTTGTTTCATCTACAAATACTAAAAAATAAAAGTTCGTAAATTGTCCGACCTATCCCTAAGTACTCTAGGTAGGATGTGAAGTGTTATTTGAAATCGAGATGGCTTGTTACAATACAAAAAAAATACACATGATAAGTTACGAGACTATCTCCAATAATTTATGAACGCTATTGAATAATATAAATAGAATTTATTAAAATATACACTATAAACTAGTTTAATTATTGCTTGAATAATTTCCAATTCATTCGATTAGGTAATCTCATCATCGCAATTCTTAGTAAAATTGATGCTTCTCACAGCTGAAATGTATTCACAGATTTATTTGCTGTTGAATTGTGCTAGATTTTTTTTGTTAAAAATGAAGTAGGTAATTTAGTTTCACTTGCTTAAAACATGAGTAATTACTGTTTCACGAGTAGTTTTTTTATTTAATATCTTCTTAATCAACTTAACCATTACCTACCTAGACCAATTAGTTTTTTAATAACTCAATTAATTAATTAAAGTTGTTTTTTTATAAAAAGTAGAATAATATTTTGAGATCAAAAGTTTGTAGGTTTGTTTGTTGTTTATTATTTTTGGGGAAGAATAATCCAATTATTAAATATTTCTCATGAAAAATAAACCATTATTGACTTTAATATTTATCACGTTTTTATTATGTACAGGGTGTTAATTAATTTAGTGCCGATACTTCAAGATGTGAATATTTGGACTATTTTAAGAAGAAAAGTTTATATCAATAAACCTCTTAGTTTTCGAGCTACAGGGTGTTAAAATTTTAGGAAAAAAATACTTTTCCTTCATAATTTTCTTATTGCTCCAGATACTCCAGATATTTTTATGATTCCAGATATTATATAAACTTTTCTTCTTAAAATTGCGTGTTATATTCACATCCTGAAGTATCGGCACTCAATTAATTAACACCCTGTATATTGTTTGAACTAAATTTTCACCTCAAATATTCCGTATTGTTTTTCATTAACAACATTCATATCGTATGTTACCTACGCATTATAGATAAAATTCATAAATAGTTTAGGCCCAGTTATTCGATTATTTACTTTTAGTGTGTAGTAAAACGCACGACCGTGACACGATTTTTATCTAATCTGATGTTTGCTCGGTAACTTTTGATTTCTGTGCGGCGCGTTCGAGCTTCTTGCTCTTGCCATTCCTGCCGATTTTCGGGGCACTCTATCGATTGGGGGCGCCACGAACAGTAACCCGGCCTGCGTAGGCGGTATTGTCAGGTCAATGGGTTTGGACAACAATATCCGTATTTTACAATCGGCCGCTATTTTATATAAATTGACTAGTTTAATTCGAGAAGTAAGGCTTGAAGGAAAACGAATTGTTGCTTCCATGAAAGATATTTGGAAGAACTAAGAATTGTTTTCTTTGGTATCTTGCTTGGTATTTTTTTGAGCACCATTCAAGAAGTATTTTATATACCTTATTATCATATAATTACTTTAAAATCAATATTTTACTATCAACGTTCACCATTTAACTTCCCTAAAACTATCGAAATTTTAATTAACTTTTTACTTTAACAACCAGTATCAGACTTGTACCGGTATGTATCTTTTATGTAGGGGATTTCTCTTGTATTCTACGCATAGAAATCCCCGAGTGCTCCAAATAGGGTTGGTCTGCACAGGAATTTCGGCAACGTCGCCGATTCCGCTGTCCTGTCAGTTCTTACTCATTTCCACACAACCTGTAAGTTCGCCTGATTATCCTTATTTTTTATGTTTTAAAAATTAACAGAGGAAAATCGCATTTCGAACGCATATCGCATCACTTTTGTTGTTTTGTATGTGGCACTTGCGTGGTGTTTACTTTGAACAGGAGAACGCAATCGACTTTTTGGTAAGCCTCATGTTTCATGTTTCACTTACACGTAATTTACTATTTTAGGGGAAATTGTGTTAAGGGATGCGTGTTTTATTTATATTACTTTTTATACTTTATATTACAGTTTTCAGCTTGATGTAGTTTCTTAATAAATCATTGATTGAATTAAATATTTAATGTAAATATAAATTTATTAATAATATTCATGGCTAGAGGAAAAACTTTTATTAATTATTCTGTTTCAAGTCCTAAACGATAATACAGCATTAAGTAAAATTACAGGCTTAATACAATTTGTAATTAATTTTATTGTTTATTATTTAATTTAATAATTTCCTTGGGCAATTTACCTGTCTATAATTTTAAACAAACGAATCCCGTTAATGAAATGTACGAAATTTCGGGATGTTATCTCGTAAAAATTTCCATGAATCGAAGCTGGTACACTGGCAAATGTCCAATATGTGTGTCCTATAAAATATTTCATGGCATTGCATCATTTAGTAAATTTCTCTCTGAGGTACAAGTAATTCCCCCAATTCATCGTTTCGAGACGTCTGGAGCATTAAACATTTATCAAAAAAACTCGCTGGATTCCAGCAAACTTTAATCTCGCCAGTTTTATAATTCAATTTTTCGATAAAAAATACTCGCCCTTTGACAAATTAAAAACTGTCGACGTTCATCAACATTATCGGTTTTAATTAAAAGCTACTGTTGCGAATTTATATTTTCGCACACCATCGATTCCACCCGTTCCTCTCTCATCAACCCTCGACAAATATGTAACACACTTTCAGTGCCAACAGGACAAATCCATCCGCATTTTAAACGAACTTCTCTATTACCACGAGGTTTTAAATTTACCGAAATAAAGAGAGATATTTGATTAAATTTTAAAACGTATCTATCGGTGCTAAGCTGTGTTTACACTGCACGAAACGTGTTAAAGAGGAAACAAACTTTACTTTAAATTATTGATACTGAATCAATAGTTGATTCTAACATATAGGGGTTTTGTATAAATGTGTTAAATATTGCGTGAAAGCTCACATACGACTTTGAGGTCTGAATTTTCGCTCCCTCGAACAGCTAGAAGATTAGATGTGTCGACTATGCATAGAATACCCGTTGTTTGGATGTTTTCTGAGCAAACAACCTTGGAAGTTTAACCCCTATATCGTACATAATGGATTAGATGTGGCAAGGTTGGAGAGAAGGACGTTTTGTCGTACGAATTGTTAATGCAATTTAATTGACGGGGTCTTTTTCTTCTATTGCAGATAACAAGAAATACAAAATAAAACGTTATAGTATGTGTTTAATTTAGTCGCGAGAAAAGTAACATAAAGTAGCTCGTTTAAAAAAAAAAACAAAACTAGTAAATCAAATTTAAAATGGCGTGGGGTTACTGGAGCGCTACGACCGTCTCGGACAGGGGCCGTAGTCCTCGACGGAACCAAAACAACGCGTCCAATCACGCTCAAAGCATGCCCGTAACCATCGAAGACAGGCCTTCAATGTCTCAGACATTCGCAACGGTTAACTCCAACAACAACTCCGTAACGGCCCAATCCGCCGCCGTCAGCGTGGAATTCGAGGAGATCACGCCCGTCCATCACCAGCTGTCGAGGCGGCCGTCCCTGGACCTGGGTCCTCAGGGATCGCTGGCCGGGATAATTTGCGCTGCGCACGGTAGCCGGCTGGCCGGCGGACCCGGCACCCTGTCGGCCGGTAACACGTTGACCAGGGTGGGAAGCCGGCATACGGCCGTCGAGTACGCCGTACCCCATCATTTCTATCACCATCACGCTTGTGTGGAGCACCATCAGACGCAGCTGAGCTTTTCCGATGACGATTCCAGCTCGGAGCCGGGATATGCCACAGGTAGAATTTTGACGGAGTCCGTTGTTGTTGTTGCCGCTGCTGCTGCTGCTGTTGTTTTTTTTCTTTTGGCTGTGTTTTATTTGCTTCGTTTTGAATACGTTTCACCAGGAATTGATCAAACTTAAAATGTGTTTTGTGAGAATTGTAGTATATCATGATGAATTTGTCAGTAACTTTTGAGACGTTTGTTAATTGAAGTTCTGAACTAAAACGATGGATTAGTTTTAAACGGTTTAATCGTTTACTAAACAGTTCGAGGAAATTTTAATCCCTTTGATAATTCTTTTTGAAATAGAGTAGAAAGTTTAAATTGGAACACAGTTTGATCCTTTCTTGTGTTACGAAAGTTTGGATTTTAATAGATTTTTTTTTATTTAACACGATTGAAGAGATTTATTGATTTTTGAGCTTTAAGAGCTGTGCTGCATGTGTGCAATTTTATCTATTTTTTTCTTAAACAGGGTGTTATTTAATTGAATGCCGATACTTCAGGAATTTAATATTTGAGAGATTTTAAGAATAAAAGTTTTTATCAATATATGTCCTAAGCCTCTTAGTTTTCGAGCTACAGGGTGTTACAATTTTAGCAGAAATAAATTTTTATCATAATTCCCCTTTATTACTCCAGATATTTTTAATTAACTTTGTCCTCAAAAAAAGTTCTAAATTTAAAAAAGTTAATTAAAAAGTGTGTAGGTACAAAATTTCTTAAAAATATCTGGAGTAATAAGAAAATTATGATAGAAAAGTTTTATTTTCTAAAATTTTAACAACCTTTAATTGGAAAACTAAGAGGTTTAGGACATATATTAATAAAAAGTTTTCTTCTTAAAATCATCCAAATATTCACATCCTGAAGTATCAGCACTCAATTAATTAACACCCTGTATATTCGGTACCCACTTTTAATGATAAATTACAGATAATTAATTGTCAACCGACTAATGTTTTAAGAAAATTCATTATTATTCAATAAGCATTTACGTTTTCGAATTTAGCATGCTAATTAAATTACTAGTATTTTTTGCCGTTATTAAAATTTGCGTGTTATTTAATTATAACAATTTGTTAAATTTTTCTTCGGTTTTTATTACATATTTAAATGCTACAAGTGTATATAGAAAATGAACACTATGCATTCTCGGCATTCTCACACGAAATCAGTACATCGATTTGCATGCATTGAAAATCATATAACACAAAACTATTTACATAAATTATCTCGATACATAAAAGATATTTTTAATTTTAATAATATTTAGAGTAAAATTTTACAGGAATAATAAGTAGCGTGTAGACTCGCTCATCTCAAATATCTTATGGATAATTCCATTTTTCTCCGGTTGATTATAATCTTTATTCCGAAATTAAATTTCCTTTCCGCTCGGAAATTTCCTGTATATTTTTCTAAACCGTTTCTAAATTCCTGCTGTTCCTGCGATACGAACGTAGGTGTTAACATAACAAACCATTTCTCGGTCTTCCACCGTTGCATTGACATGATAGTTTGTTAACCTTAATTTAGTTTAATTAATACACGGACCGAAAAGAAATTATCCTTTTAGTGTTAAAGTTTGTTTATGTGTAGTGGTACATACACACCAATGTACGTTATTTATTACGTGCTTGTTAAAAGTTCGTGTTTGCCCTTTAGAGGTAATTTTTCGATTTTATTTCTACTGCGAATTCTAACTTTATATGGTTTAATAGTTGTAGAGGTCACCGAATGTGTGATTCATTCATTAACAGAAGGTTTTTTGCGTCTATTATTGTTTAGTTTTTATTCGGGAAATTGTGGATTCCGAAGGAAACGAGGACGCCGGAAAATTTTTATTTTTTGATTTTATGAAGCAAGCGATATCGGTGAGGTTTAAGATATCTTCGGTTTATCAATTTTATTTTTGGTACATTTAACAATAAAACAAGAAATTACTACATTTTTTGTTTACTTATAGTCAAGTGAATTTTGTTAATATAGTTGGGAAAACGAATTATTACAGTAGGTGTATTTTTTAAACATCCTTATACAGAGTTGGGCAAAAGTCCGGAATAAAATTATTATCTTTTGAACCAGTAATTTAAACAAAAAACGCCGAAACACGTAAATTGATTTTATATTGTACGGATTTGTTGCCAATAAAATGATTTTTTTTTCTTCAACCCCTTAGTTGCAACCCTACCCAACTTTATTTTTTCAAATGCAAAGGTATGTCGTGTGTAGGGTCATTGAAAAGCCCGTGAAAAATGGAATCTAAAACATACCTTTTTTTTTATTTTTCTCATGTTGTTATTTGGAAATGAGCAAAAATTTCTTTTAAAAACAAAAAAGTTACAAATACCTTTTTAGTGCTATCGACGTAGCAATGTTGAAAATGCCCTTCACCATCTACTTGACAGGCTCCCAGCCGTTGGTAAAACTTAATATCGATAGCATATCTTTAATTCTGAATGACTTTTTAATAAAAACAGGCGAACCTTTGGTAAAAAAAAAACTTGTACAAAAATGCAACACCTGTTTTCCTTTTTGAAGTTCACTGATCAACAATGGCTTAGATTTAAACCCATTTTATGTTTTTGTTTTTTCTTAAAACATAAATTTCAACGAATGTTGTTGCTAAATTGCCTTATCAGTTTTAAACGGTAAATCAATAAAATTTGGTGTGCTGCCTGACCAGGCTCGCCTGCTTTTAATAAAAGTTCAGAATTAAAGATAGGCTACCGATATTAGGTTTTACCATTGCCTTGGAGCCTGTTAAGTAGAGTAAGCCTTAATTCACACGTCGATACCACTAAAAAAGTATTTGTAACATATTTGTTTTTAAAAAATTTTTTTGCTCATTTCCAAATAACATGAGAAAAATAAAAAAAAAAGGTATGTTTTAGATTCCATTTTTCACGGGCTTTTCAATGACCCTACACACGACATACCTTTGCATTTGAAAAAATAAAGTTGGGTAGGGTTGCAACTAAGGGGTTGAAGAAAAAAGAATCATTTTATTGGCAACAAATCCGTCCAATATAAAATCAATTTACGTGTTTCAGCGTTTTTTGTTTAAATTACTGGTTTAACAGATAATAATTTTATTCCGGACTTTTGCCCAACCCTGTATATTCTACATAATTTAAATATGTATCATTAAATGTACGAATTTAATAGCTTATGTTGATAAGGTATAATCTTCATTGTAACACATAAAATAAGTTAAAACAGGATTAATCCTAATTTAGTGTGTATTTTCAAAACGAAAATTTAATCTGCAAATTCCTAATTTATCAAATATCGGATTAATGTGGTTAGTTATTAACGGAACACTCGAAATTTAGGCAACGATTTTGCCATCTCTATGGTCTTTTGCGATAAGAATTTACCAGTTTGTTAAAATTTTTTTGAATCAGTTTCGCCTCGGAGTTGCAATGAAAAGCATGAACCAGTCGAATTATGTCAAAAACGGTTCGAAGAATATTTTACCTGACGAGCAAGTTAACGAGAAAAAGTACGTTACTATTTTACTATTATTATTACTTGTTATATTGAATGTATTGTGAATTACTGTCCAAGTGTGCCCGGTAAGTTTTGTGATGTAAAAAAAATCAAAATAATATCGTACAATTATTCCGGTTCCGCCTCTGGGAGTTTCCAATCAAAATTAATTTAAAAATCCTTATCTCGCCATTATCTCGCCGTTATCTTTCAGTAATTTTTCTATTGTTTTCTCAGTATACATTAACGTATTTACGCAGAGCGTCCGCGTAACCGATTCGTTTGTGTAAAAAAAAGTATTTACGACAATATTTTCTGCATCGTTTCTCGCGATTCGATGCCTTCCCATCGATCATCGCCAGCTCGTTTTATCGGCATTCGGACGTCTTGATACCAGCATAAGGGTGCGTGTGTGAATAAAATGACCACGAGATCCTGGGCTAGGGACTTGCTCAGTAATCTAGCCGAAGCCGCTGTATTGTGGTCTTATCATCCCCTCTATACTTACGAACCCACATCTCTGTTTGGAAACAACACGGGCGGTTAGTGCGAATTATTCCGAATTTTTATTAATTAATTTTCCAGTTGTTTTAGTGTGGAGTTATCGCTTCTTTTTTTGAGTTGTAAATAATAATAGTTTCTGCAATTAATAACAGTTATTATTAATATCCTGTTGTTAATGTGTGATTCATAAACCTACGAAATTATCGGTAAAAAAATCGCGCTATCGAAATCGGCACTTGAAATCTTTCCAAAAACAACTGTTTGGATATTTTTCCCAGTGAATATGAATTATTCGAGTCGTACGAACGTACGAAAAATAAATGAGTTTATAAACGCGTATTCGTATGTGTTTTAAACCTGTATCATATAATACCTTTCAATGCAAGTTTTATCAGCGTTTTATCAGGCTGATAATCGTATTTTTTGTGAAATAATTGTCCATTTTCAGAACTTACGAATCGATCGTAGTATTGTTGTGTAGCAATAAGATGTTCAAATTGATTAGAGAAGGCTCTGCCAGCGATAGCCATAGTCTAATTTACGTTATTTTGTCCGCAGTTTTCCCTAATGTGCCATCGCAACCAGGAATGCCCTGTCAGGGCGAGGACAGTGAGTATCGTTTTGTTTCTATTAATAAATTCCTACATAATCCAGCATACAGTTAACGCAGGCTTTTAATTTTAAAACACGAGTCTAGCCAAATATTTACTTGGAATAATAACAGTAAAATATTTATGTTTATTGATTTTGTGAATAAACGTACACGTATTTTTTATTGTGAAGTTGTTCAGTGAGAGGGTAAAAAACGAGTTTTGATAATAATTAATGTTTCATTTCAGGAAGTATTTATCGAAGGGGAGCAAGACGCTGGAGGAAGCTATATAGAGTTAATGGGCACATATTCCAAGCTAAGCGATTTAATAGAGTAAGTTTGAATATTAGACTATTAGCATCCGAGTTGTATGTTAAATTATTCCTTAAAATATTAATAGATTCTGAAGGATTTAGGTTAGGAAAGCGACTTTTATTGAAGAACAAACAGTGACACGCATATCAAATGTAAATATACACATTGAAGTTTGAGTATCAGTCAATGATAAGTTATTTATAGGTACAAAACTTACTGCATTTTTTAAGTTAATTTTTTTTTTCTGACGAATCGTAATAATAAATATTTACGTTTTCATTTTATTTAACAACGTCCGACAATTCCTGCTAAGGACAATAACCTTGTGGAAGGAAATTTTTCCAAACACTTCAAATAATCGTCGCGAATTACATATCGTCGTCTCGCATTAATAAACAAAAAAACCCTTATAAATAAATATTGTTTTCAACGATATTATAATTAGCTTCCGTAACGATTTTTTTAAAATTTGTTTTATGAAAATGTAGCTCATTTTATAGCTCATTTTATTGAAGATTATAAAATTTCAGCGTAAAATTCCACTCCCAACCCCCCGAAAAAAAAAATATTAAAGTTGTATCTTTGTGGTTACATCTAATTGTAAATTTTCCATCGACAGAGAGCCTTTTGCGCGTTCTGCAAGGACCGAATCTGGGGCCTGGGCAGGCAGGGCTTCAAGTGCATCCAGTGCAAATTGCTGGTGCACAAAAAATGCCACAAGGCAGTCAACAAACCCTGCACCAGCGAACACCAGGAACCCATCATCAGAGAAGACCACAACGGCGAGGCGCACGGAATCAACACCCCCGTGGCCGAGATAAAACCCGACCTACCCGAAAGGGACTTCTCCCAACCGCCGCCAGATGTAACCGGTAAGCTAATTTAGTCCTCAAAAGGAACTTAATAACATAATCGACGGTGTTGCAGGTGAATCGGTGCCGGTAGAGGATCCGAACAAGCCGGTGGACGAGCTGGAGCCGGGCTCGCAGCGCCAGTACTCGCTCAACGACTTCGAATTGATCCGCGTTATCGGTCGCGGTTCCTACGCCAAAGTGCTGATGGTCGAATTGAAGAAGACGAAGCGCATCTACGCCATGAAGGTGATCAAGAAGGCCCTGGTCACCGACGACGAGGACATCGATTGGGTGCAAACCGAGAAGCACGTGTTCGAAACGGCCTCGAACCATCCGTTTTTGGTCGGTTTGCATTCGTGCTTCCAGACGCCGTCGCGGTTGTTCTTCGTCATCGAGTTTGTGCGCGGCGGGGATTTGATGTTTCACATGCAAAGGCAGAGGAGGTTGCCCGAGGAACACGCAAGGTATAGCAACATTTTATATCTAATTTGTTTTGAACCAACTTGTTTGTTCAATGAGTCCTAAGAGCTCAACGTGGTCTTCATCGAGCTTGGTGGTCACTTCGACCAACAATTTTGACGCCTTTCGGAAAGTAATCTGTGTCAAGATCTACAAACTAGGCACTCGACCTCTTCGTTCGAGTGATATTTCTTCACCTGCTTCCATTTTCTTAAGTATTCAGAATAGATAGTAGTCGCTGCTAACAAGAACTGATGAATACGGTGAACGAGGAAGCAATTTCCAGCCTAATTTTTAAAATTTTTCGAAGTTCAAGGAAGGCTCCACCTGGCTCTGAGGACCTGGACCTACTGAACAAATGAGCATAATTTTTTTTGTAGGTTTTACGCAGCCGAGATTTCGTTGGCCTTGAACTTTTTGCATTGCAAAGGCATCATCTATAGGGATTTGAAATTGGACAACGTTCTGTTGGACCACGAGGGGCATATCAAACTGACGGATTACGGTATGTGCAAGGAGGGAATCAGGCCGGGCGATACCACATCGACTTTTTGCGGTACGCCGAATTACATAGCTCCGGAAATATTGCGCGGCGAAGATTATGGATTTTCGGTTGATTGGTGGGCTCTAGGTACGTTTAAAAATCGTCTATCAAATTACTATCTATTAATTTTTTTGATGGTTGTTTTCAGGCGTGTTGTTGTACGAAATGTTGGCCGGTAGATCGCCGTTCGATATAGCCGGCGCCTCCGAGAATCCCGATCAAAATACCGAAGATTATCTGTTCCAAGTGATACTGGAGAAGACCATCCGTATACCGAGATCGCTGAGCGTCAAAGCGGCCAACGTGTTGAAAGGATTCCTTAATAAAAATCCCGCCGACAGATTGGGTTGTCATGGTCCCGAAGCGTTCGTAGAAATAACGAGTCACCAGTTCTTCAAGAGCATCGATTGGGATATGGTGAGTAAAATCAAACATTTATTCTTATTGTCTTTATTATAACATAATATTGGCTATAATTACATTTGGTTTTCGTGTACTATTCTTTCGTTTTCGTGTGCATCTACGATGAACCTGGAAATAAAAAAAAGTAATCGTTAATATCGTATTAATTTTTCAGTTGGAGCAGAAACAAGTTCCTCCTCCGTATAAACCCCGCTTAGATTCAGACAGAGATTTGGCTAATTTCCCGCCGGAATTTACAGACGAACCGGTGCATCTTACACCAGATGATCCGTAAGTACCACTTCAATTAATCACTAATTAAAGCAACTTCTAACCTAGTCTTCATTCTGTTCGATCAAAGTCGCACTAACTCTGACGAACAGGTGTATATGTTGCGGGTAAAATTAGATAAACGACTAAACCTAGGTTTGCACGGGTAAAGTGCGATATGCGGGTGAGGTAGGGTAGGGTATGGTATAGTATAGTGGGTTTCGGGTGGTACAGGGTGGTCCTCTGAGAATGGCTCTCGGCCATATCCCGCAAACTAGTTGTAGACACTTTCGGTCAAAAATCTTATTACTAAATCGGCTAAAAGAAAATGCTGGAAATAATTTTTAAGTCTCTAAAATGGCCGCTAGGGGGAATATCTGCCATCTTGATTTTTAAGTCATTTTTTCCAAACTTTACCAAATAAAGGTAGCAAAAATATGTTTTATTTTGATAGTTAAGATAATTTCGATTATTTTTTGTTATATATTTTTGACTCTCTCTTTTAAAATAAAGTGGTTTGAATATGTTTGAATATTTGAACAAATAAATGTTAATAACTCTTAAACGGCAGAACGGATTTTCATAAAAATGAAATCGTTAAAAAGGACTCTCCTTGATCTATAATTTACACTATAAAAGATATTATTTAAAATGCTTGATTTGCGGCCAAGCAAGCATTAAAAATAATATCTTCTATAGAGTAAATTATAGATCAAGGAGAGTCCTTTTCAACGATTTCATTTATGAAAATCCGTTCAGCCGTTTAAAAGTTTTTAACATTTATTTGTTCAAATATTCAAACATCCCCCACCACTTTATTTTAAAAGATATAGTTAAAAATATATAACAAAAAATAATCGAAATTATCTTAACTATCAAAATAAAACATATTTTTGCTACCTTTATTTAGAAAATTTTTGAAAAAATGACTTAAAAATTAAGATGCCGGATATTTCCTCTAGCGGTCATTTTAGAGGCTTAAAAATTATTTCCAGCATTTTCATTTGGCCGATTTAGTCATAAGATTTTTTACTGCAAGTGTCTACGACAATTAGTTTGCGGGCTATGGCCGAGAGCCATTCTTAGAGGACCGCCCTGTACAACGGGAACCTAAGAAACCCAAAAACGTACCGTACCGTACCGTACCGTACCGTACCGTACCGTACCGTACCGTACCGTACCGTACCGTACCGTACCGTACCGTACCGTACCGTACCGTACCGTACCGTACCGTACCGTACCGTACCGTACCGTACCGTACCGTACCGTACCGTACCGTACCGTACCGTACCGTACCGTACCGTACCGTACCGTACCGTACCGTACCGTACCGTACCGTACCGTACCGTACCGTACCGTACCGTACCGTGTGTCCCACGACGAGTTAAAACTATCTGTATATAGGAAAGTACTTATCCGATTTAAATAAAATTTGGTATGTATATTTTATGCAATAAGACGAATCTCTAAAAATATTTTGACAGTTTTACCACTTCCGGATATACCAAAAGTAGCCATCAATTTTGTTATTTTAAATAGAACACCTTATATATTAATATATTTTCAAAATCTACGTAAAATTTTAGGGTATATTTGTCTAAAACATTTTTTTCAAAAATTCATATTTTCCGAGTCATTCATTTTTTTGAAAAATTTGACCGATGCAGACCCTTGTAAATTATTTTTTAACGGGGATCCCCTTAAAGATATGGAAACGATTTTTGTAGGGTGGCTACTAGAAATGTCAGAGGTATTTGAACCTGCTTTAAAAAACTTTTTATTTTATACAAGGTGTGTACAAAAAATGTGAAAAGTTGAACATCATAAATACCAAAATTCTTCATTATTTTAAAGGAACTACCAATTTCTTTCTATTTTAATGAAATCAGCGGTGAAAAATAAGGGACGTTCTAATTTACTTCACTATACCTAAACCTAATAGTTTTGAAGATATTAAAAATTTTACATAAAACTTACTTTTCTGCCTTATTCTTAAATAACTCGGTTTTACAAGTTGGCCATGTAATATCGAACAAGTATTAAAATAATCAATTATTCAAGAAGAATTTACATGGCCAAATTATAAAACCTATTTAATTGAAAAATAAGGCAGAAATGTAAGTTTTGTGTAAATATTTTAAATATCTCCAAAACTATTAGGTTTGGGTATATGGAAGTAAACATGAACTTCTCTTATGTTTTACCTCGGATTTAATTAAAATAGAAAACATGGTGGTTCCATTTAAAAAAAATGAAGAAATTTGATATTTTTAAAGTTCAACTTCACACTTTTATACACACCTTGTATAAAGTAAAAAGTTTTTTAACACAGATCAAATACCTTTGACCTTGCTAGTAGCCCCCCTATAGAAACCGTTTCCATATCAAGGAATCCCCGTTAAAAACTAATTTACAAGGGGTGCATCGGTCAAATTTTTCAAAAAAATATTAATAACTCAAAAAATATTCATTTTGGAAAAAAGTATTTTAGAAAAAAATACCCAGAAATTTTACGTAGATTTCGAAAATACATTAACATAAAGGGTGTTCGATTTGAAATAACAAAATTAATGCCTACTTTCGGTATATCCGGTGGTACAAATGTCAAAATACTTTGAAGAGGTTCGCCTTATTGCATAACATATACATACCAAATATAATTTAAATCGGATAAGTAGTTTCCTATATGTATACAGAGGCCCGTATTCAGCGCCTCTGTTTAACTGTACAGTGACCCTAAAGTCGAGTCTCGAGTCTCTAGTTACTCCATAACAATAATGTAAATCTGTCAAGTTAAAGACGCGACTTTGGAGTCACTCTAAAGTTAAACAGAGGCCCTGAATACGGGCCAGATAGTTCTAACTCGTCCTGGGACACCCTGTATAGAAAATGTACCCTCAACACGATGTGGGAAATCGGGAAATCCATAACAAACCTACACCTTCCGTCAAAATTACTAACACCGGTTTTTAACAAACAATACTAATAGATTAATTTACGATGTTTTTTTTCTAGGAGGGTGATTGAAAAAATCGATCAATCGGAATTCGAAGGTTTCGAATACGTGAATCCGCTACTCATGTCGTTGGAGGACTGCGTGTGACACAACGTTTTGTGCGCCCTGCATCCAGCCAATTTACCGCCGCCGCCGCCGCCGGCCATCGGGCACCGGTATCCGCCGCCGGTGATGCCGCCGCCGCCGCCGCCGGTCGCTGGTGAATACGACGTGCCCGAAGGGAACGGGTACCTGGAGGTGGACGTGCGGCCGCCCGCCAAATCTATTCTTCAAAATATATTCTGCCTTCCTCTTAACTAGTGCTTTAGAGACTATTTACTTCAGGTATTTTTTTACTACTTAATTATTATTATTATTTTTCGATGAAAAAGTGTTCATGGTAATGTAATGTAGGATGTTGTTGATGAAGGGTTTTTTTTATGTGGATAATACGTTTTTATTTGTGCTGGTACTTTAAGGTACTTATTTAGTTTTCTTTTTTTTTTATTCATAAACATGTTTTTTTATAGGAAACAAACACTTACATGAACACTTTTTTTATTTATTATTATATATATTTATTGTTCTATCAGTTTTGTATAAAAAAATGTAGAAGTGTTATTTTTTATAACTAAAAATAAATTTATTTAAATTTTTTGATCTTGAAAAACTATTGTTTCGTAATATCGTCAACCTAAAGTGCATGGAATGAAGCAAGACTATTCATTTATTCTCATACTAATTATGAAATTCGAATGAATCACTGATAAAAGTTGCCACTATATTATTAATTAACGATATGATTTATCATTTATAAACGAAAAAATCCAGACTAAAAAAATCAAATTTTAATTTCGACAAACACTATGGTTGTGACATGGATTCTGCAAACTGTATGGTATTATTCTGCAATAATGAATCGAAGAAATAGTCGTGACTCATTCTTATTATTAACGTGTAAAATTTTAAGGATTTGGCAAAGGAATTGATTTTTTTAGAAAGTGTATTCGCTCGAGAAAAAAAAAATAAAACCGTTAAAGTTTCGATGTGTCTATTCTGTTTCGCGTCTTCAATGAAAATCCGTGTTTTAAATCAATGTAAATGGAATTTAATTTAAACGAGCTAGCGCTAGTTGGATCCAATCGAAATATCGAAGAAGTTCCTAGTTTTCGTTTGCATTCGAATAAATCAATATTTTCCTTATTTGCTGGAATTTTAATCGTAAGCAATAAGAAATGGTGCTGAAAAGGTTCACTTCGTAATGCCGACTATTGTGCATTAAAATTTAATCACTTTTATCGAAATTTCTTAACAAATTTAGAAAAAAAATGCTACTTACAACCATTTACAACTACCTCAAAGTTAAATAATTGACTACTACAATTTTATTATCCTTGGCAGCTTCTATTTTTTTAAAAAGTGAACTAAAGGCGCGGGGAATCGTGTAAAGTAGCTAAAGCAAGTTACTAAATCAAGTAACTAAATTATTATTTAGCTACTTGACATGTGTAACCTCGCCTTAATTGAATGATTAAAAAGCAATAAATTAATAAAATCTACCACCTTGAATTTGTTAAATTTCCCCATATAATTATCAAAATAATTAACACTCACCTTACGCAAGCATTCTCTTAACTGGAATCATCTGTAAAAAAATAAATGCAATTAAAAATAAACTAAAGTGCCAGAGATATGCAAAACTAAACCTAGGAACTTTCAGAGCCTTAGAATATTGATTGTAGCATTTAATAATATGTACATTAGGCTAAAGAAATATTGTAAAGACTGAAATAAAGAAAAAAGGTATTGTAATTAACGTTTATTTCGACTAAATGTGTCTAAAAATATATTCCGTTTATTGATGGATCACACACTATTTTCCACTTTACCAAGAATTAGAAGCCGGTAAGAATAAAGGATATCTAGCTTGTAAATAAAATTGTTAGGTGTGCGGATTATTTTACATTCTGAATTTATGTATACATGATAAAAAATTAGGATTTTTTATTCGAGATTATCGTTTGTGAATGGCGTTTTCCACCGAACAAACTAGTCGATTTTTTTAACAAAACAAAAACACCAAAAATTTAAGATGTTTGGTGGGAAATCCATTGGATGTATTTTGTAATATTAGAACCGTTCGTTTATTTTTTAAGTGTTTGAAAAATGTCTAGAAAAAACCGAAATACAATGAAAGGTTCTTCCAATGACTAGAAACAATAGTGATTATTAATATTTTTATTTGCATTCTATGTACCTAAAGCGATTTCAATATTATTTGAAGTAAATTACGCTAAGTCGTTACTGTTATACGCCATCATAATATTCAATAATATCTAGTTCTTTGAGCAATTTTCGAGAAAAAAACGATAAAGAAAATCTTAGATTTACACTTGCACATAATTAAATGCTGTAAGAATTGTTGATAAAAAAAATAATATTTAATCAATATTCAGCGTTACACGGGATGTTTCGCAATTAATTAACGTTTTCAAATCGTTCATTTACAAAATTAGGATAATTAAATTGTCCGATTAGTTACGAAAACGCAACTAATTGCGAATGGTCTCGTATGGTTAAAAAGTTTGCAAATTAGCAGAGATATTAACGATTAGTATAGATTTTTTTTATATTTAATCTCCCGTTTATTTAGAATTCGTTACTTTTGAGTCGGCATTCCTACATGTATTGGAAGAAAGTATTGTTTTATACGTTTGTTTAGTTACAAAGTAATATTTCTTAATAAAGACTTATTTAAAAACATGTTTTCTTGCTAATCCTTTTATTATTACTGAATACAGGATGTCCCATGACGAGTCAAAACTATCTGTATATAGGAAACTACTTATCCGATTTAAATAATATTTGGTATGTATATGTTATGCAAGATGAACCTCTTAAAATATTTTAACTTTGTTATTTCAAATGGAACACCCTGAATATTAATATTTTTTTCGAAATCTACGTAAAATTTTAGGGTACTTTTGTTTAAAAGACTTTAAAAATGCATATTTTTTGAGTTAAATTTTTTTTGAAAAATTTAACCAATGCAGACCCTTATAAATTATTTTTTTACAGGGATTCCCTTAAAGATATGGAAACGGTTTCTGTAGGGTGGCGACCAGCAAGGTCAAAGGTATTTGAATTTGAGTTAAAAAAACTTTTTATTGATCAGAAAAAATTAGATAAGTGCTTTCCTATATACAGATAGTTTTATTCGCCGTGGGACACCCTGTATATCATGCAAATTTTGACTATTTTCTAATAATTTTCATATAAAACCGCGCAAAAATATTCATCGATCATTTCCAAAAATAAAAAACCATCAAACTTACTTCAGCGTGTTACATCTTCAGATAGAAATGAACTAGCGTGAAGTGGATACTTAAAAAAGTTAGGGGAATAAAATGAAGAAGTTCCGAAAGTGGCTTAGTTTGCCGGACCATTGGTGCATTATCAAGTCCAAAGTTGGAGTTAAGTCCGTCACAATGCCCTGTAGAGTTATTTACCCAGACTTCGGGGGATTACGTCGACGGAGACGGGCTTAAAATAAAAGGAAAAAAAACAAAGCCCTTCGTTTGCGGACCGATTCGAATTAAAATCGTGTCTGCTGGTTTTATTAATGTCCTCTTCTGGTGATGGTATATTCTGCGCAGAAATGTATTACCTGAGAGTTTAAAAGGTTATTTTAAACCTATAGGTAAATTGGGCGCGAGAATATTAAAGATAGAAAAGAGGATGCTCTACTCTTTAGAGTACAGTAGATTCAGAGTACATTGCATTCAGAGGAGAGTAGAATAGAGTAGATTCAGAGTGAAGTATGTATGTTCAGAGCGGACTAGATTCAATTCGGAGTACAGTAGATTCAGGTTAGAGTCAGAGGAGAGTAGATTTAGAGAAGAGGAGATTCAGAAAAGACTAAATTCAGAGTAAAGTATGTAGATTCAGAGGAGAGTTGAGAAGTAGAAGAAATTCAGAGTAGAATAGAGTAGAGAATCAAAGAAATCAAAGGAAATATTTGTGGTTATTTTCTGGGGTCTCCGCGCCCAATTTACCATTTATATTGAAGGAACTTTTTATTATACGCGCCCAATTTACCTATATGATTAAACTCAACAATCCCTTGTGCGCCCAATTTTCACCCGTCTCCTTCGCTCTCACCCCGAAAGTTCCTAATTCAATAATGTTAGGCAATAAAATTATGAATATAATTTATATTTAGCCGAAACTATTTTTATTAGTTGCAAAATGTAGGCATACAATAACATCGGGCTAGTATTTTTTTTTCATTTACCAACCGTATAGCTATAATTAGATTCATCCTAGAAACTTGGCTCTAGCGCGCTACATAATCAGTCGTTTTTGCAAATTGCGGCTTTGCTGCTGGTCCCGAATTCGAGGAAAATGATTTTTCCGAGACACAAATGAATGAAATCGTCGATACTTACAGAAGAAGCGAGCAGTCGACATGAAAAAGCCGAAAAAGTCGTTTTTCCGGATAACCAGAAAAACGCTGAGGAATCTTGGTATTTTGGGATACAGGTGAGCTCGCCATTTTTTTTTATCTAATTCGCATAAAATATAGGTCGCTAAATATTAACAAAATCCTGCCAAATAAAATTTTCTTCATTTACGCTCTCATTAGGCGTTCCCCTTCGATAAATTACGAAATTTAATCGCAACGCTAAACAACAAATAATTGTAAAGCCCCGAGAATATTTCCTAATCTCCTACATTCAGTGTTACGCGGGACTTTCGCGAATACTTTTATCCCCTCGCTGATAATTGAGAATTTTCGAGAAATCATATCGCGCTCAGAGCTCAGAGGAAATTTCAAATTAACGGGGGGTTTTCGCGCTATTATTACCTCCAACGATGAAAAATAAACAACGTTTTTGGATACCCAGCGAGGCGGCGCCTAATTAATTTAGACGCCCCAAATTCGCGGATTCTATTTCCCCAAAAACGAAATATCGCTTTTGTAAATCTAAATTATTTTCCTCGCCATCGAATTTTAAGCGGGCAATTGAGGAGAGACTTATTTTTAATACCGGTTTATTTTCAGCAAAAAAGATAACGTTTTCGGCATCAACCCTCTCATAATTTCCATCATCTACATCGGAATAACCTTAGGACTAGCCGCTGTAGCTCGTAAAATAGTCAAACTAATTTTCGGAGACAGCGAAAGACTCGCCAAGCATCTGATATTGGAATTTATAGCCACAATCGAATTATGCGCCGCTTGTTACGAATTAATTATTAGTAAGTACTGGGTGTTAATTAATTGGGTGCCGATACTTCAGGATGCGAATATTTGGATGATTTTAAAAAGAAAAGTTTGCAGAAAAGTCTGCAGTTCGACAACTAAGATTTTAAACATGATTTTAAAATGCTTTTAAAATCATCCAAATATTCACATCCTGAAATATCGACACTCAATTAATTAACACCCTAAATAATGCAACATAAAATGAGCCATACTATTCTCGCTAATATGGCTATCATGCGTGCTCGTTTGTATAATATAAATTTACAGTTGCTGACAATTGGGGAATATCCTCCTACGCTTTATTCCTGTTTCTATTGACTGTTTGGTGGGGCACACAATGGGAGGAAGCCACCGCGTGCCCTTACAACCCTTTAGAAGACGTGCTAGAAGGGGGAAAGAACACTAAAACTGCCATTCTAACTGTTGCGTCGCAACTCGTAGGAGCACTGGTGACGTTCAAGTGAGTTGTGTTAGTAATTAAACGCGTTTTATACTCACCGAAATATCGAATAGTACATCCTGAAGATCCTCTTCTTCCGCACGAATATCGAAAACCTCGTCGAGTTCTCCAGGATGTTCAAACTCGATTCTGCAAGGAAAATTAAAAAAATCATAAAATTTCATCCCTTTGTCCGGCCTTTAAAAATTGATTAGGGAATATGGATCGTGTAATTTCACATAATTTTTTCACACAATTAACATTATTAAAATTTATCGATTGTCCAGTAAATCTACTGTACTCCGAATTTACTCTTCTCCGGATCTATTCTACTCTGAATCAAATCTGTACTTTGAATATAGTCTGCTCCGAATCTACTCTACTCTACTCTGAATCTACTCTATACTCTGAATCTATTGCACCGTGAACCTACTGTAATCTGAATTTACTTTATACTCTGAATCTACTCTTCTCTGAATCTACTCTCCTCTGAATCTACTGTACTCTGAATCTACTACTCATGTTCCTAGTCCTAGTCCTACTCCTCTCCAACTCCCACTCCTACTATTGATCTATTTTTCCTTTTCAATGTGACACATATCTCGCTCGCTTCGCGAGCTCGACGAGTCGCCTTCATTTTCTACCCTGTTCCACAGGTACGTTCAAGTATTGTGGTCATTGGAATTGGTTGAAACGCACATCGACAAGGCCTACGACGATTGTACGGCCGATTTGCAGGTGGACATGAGCGTCGGGGCGCTGATAGAAGCCATAGCCACCTGCCTGTGCAGGCTGGTGTCGAGGTTGCTGAGCGAAACCGACGCCACCTACGGCAATTACTTCGACGCCTTCTTCGGCACGATGATGGTGGTGGCAGGTATTAGATATTAATAGTACGATTAATGCGATAGATTTATCGTGATTGTTTGCAGCATTTAATTTTTCCGGTGGATATTTCAATCCGGCATTAGCGACGTCGCTGAAGCTGGGATGCGATGGAAACACGTTCCTCGAGCACGTTATAGTCTATTGGTTCGGAGCGATTTGCGGTTCCGTTTTGGCCGTGTTTATTTGGAAGTCTAATCTTTTTCAAAATATCATTGCGAACATGAAACCGAAGAGCGAATAAAATATGTGTTCATTTTACCCGAATATTTCCGTTTGTTGGACGTGAAAATTTGAAATTAAAAGATTATTTAAACGCAACACTTCTTTCCGCTCCTGCGATCCTTAATTAGAATTAATATTGCACGTCGGGATTCCGGAATCGAGCCTTGAACAGTTATTTACACTTAACGAAGAACGTCTCGTCTAGTTTGTATCAGTCATTGTGTTGTGTTGTGTGCGATTTTCGATTCGTTGCCGCTTCTTGAGACGTTTTCCCCGTGGGAATACATTATTAATTAAAAGGCGCTTTGATCGTAAATATTAATTACGATGTGTGCGAGGTGTCCCTTTTCGCGGGAGTAATTTTTCCGCGATAAAGGGATTATGTTTCCCGTGATATATTTCCCGGGTCCTTTCTCCCGGAACTTTTATAAACAAGTTTCCCCGCGAGAAGCGGCAACGCCGCCCGCTCCACGGAACAGATATCAACACCGGAAGGCAAAAGTGCACTCAAGGGGGTTGTATATGCCTCTACACTTTAGGAATTCCGAGGAATTTTAATATTTTCCATTTGGCGATAAAACTTTTTATTACGAAAGTTCTAATTTTATTTAAACGCCTTTGTGGGCTGGAAATCGTGAGGACATTTCCTTCGGAAAGAACCGGCGCGTTTATTACGCAACCATGCACCGTCATTTCCAAAATGTCTTTATAACTTTCGCTAAGTTCGGCGGAGATTATAAAGCGAATTCGAGATGAACTAGTACTTTGCTGTAATACAAAATAATTTCTGGTTGCTAAATATTTTATCATACTTATACCCACGTATAAGTTTCACAAGTACATTCTGCATTAGATTTACCTATAAAGTTCGTACGTTTTAAAATGACAATGACGTTTTTTGTAATAACCGCGCAGTTCGAAATTTCCCTAGTGCCAATGTTAATTCTGCCATTTCACTATAGGGGAATTTTACCTAGCGCAGTTGAATTGCCGATGCGTTCTTGCCATATCTTTAGTTCAAAATTCCACTGTTTGTAGTTGACACGTTGAGCGTTCTAAATAATTTTAGACCGTTCTAAATGATTCTGGAATTTTCTAAATGATTCCAGAAAGTTCTAAATGATTTTGGAGCGCTCTAAATGATTCTGGAATCTTGTGTTCTGAAAGTGTCTTTGGTTAGTTTTTGTTGTAATTTAAGCAAAATTTAGTAAAATAAAGTATATTAGTAAATAAAGTAATTTAGTAAAATAAAAGTTTCGAGAAAATAGAGGACTACAAATACCTTCGAGTATAATCATGAAGATATTTGTATAGATAAGAAGGAAATATTTTTGCGTATTTATAGAAAAAATTACAATTTCTGTGTCTCTTGAATTCCAATATTATAAAAACTTTATAAAAAACACAAATTAAATGACTTTCACCACCTCAATATTTATTCTAATCTCTAACGCCTTAATCTGAATAAAAAATGTAGCTTAAACGGAGTCCTAATTTAAAAGATCCGTAAAGTTCGGCCGGAAAGTTCCCTCGAAATAGCCCGTATCTAATAGCGGATTTTGAATAATTAATCAACAATCAAGAGCGTAAATAGTTAACGAAGTCTCTAAAAATTGCAGGAAACTTTTGAGTTTTACGGTTTGAAAGTTTCCATCTGGTCCATTACGCTCGAAGCGGTGCTTTATGCCATTACCCCGAAAACCAGTCATTAGTTTAATGTATAAGAGAAACGATAAAACTCACTAACGTTTACGTAGCGACCCCGGCGAAATTATTGCATTATGTACAAAAAGCCGAGAACCCGGAGCCGCAATTTCGAAATAATAGTAAAAGGACGAATGGAAATGTTGATTTATGAATATTAATATCCCGTTTAAGATTCATCAACAGGAATTTTAGACTCGAATGAATGGACGAAATATTCTATAACGTCCATCTAAAATGAATGCCTGATTGCTACAAAAGGAGAAAGGCTTGTTATACAAACATTTAAGCGCAACGTTATATTTCGCGAAATGTAAAAGAACCCTTTTTATACAATGAATTGTATTGTGTATTTCGTGCAAAAATGAAATATTCTTTTGTATAGGCGCTCTTCAGTGATAATTATTTGACATCAATTATCTGATGCCAAAGCTATATAACATGCCAATTTCATTTTATTCATCTGCAAAAACAAAGGACATCAAAAGGATACTTCAAAAGGATAATTGTACCTAATACTAATGCAATGAATGTTCGCTGTAGAAAACAAATCGACAATTTATTAAAAAAAATATTCAGGGTGTCTCTAAAAGGTTGGGACAAGGCTTAACTACAGACTTCTGGGACGAAAATAAGATGATTTAACCTAACTTACCCAAATCAAAAAATCTCTTTTGTATTTCCAACTTTTAAATCATCTCTCGTCCCATCAGAAGTCTACATGGCAGTTGAGTCACGTTCCAACCTTTTAGAGACACCCTGTATGTTACAGCTCTAGCAAATTATTAGTTCAAATTCAAATAGAAAAATCAATGAATTCCACATAAGTAATAGAGCGAGTTAAGCAACACAAAATGGAAGAATGCCCCAAACCCGACAAAGTTCTCCGACGTTTCCCAAACAGATAACCCGCCGAGTAGATAATTTGAGGTATTTCGCCGGAGTAACTCTGTCAAATGATTTAGTATTCCTGGGGCTTTTCCTATCGCATTATGAAAGTTTAAAATAACGTAGGTACCAGGCATTAAGTAGAAAGTTGGGAAGTTTAGACGGAGCCTGCCGGTGTGGTTGATGCATGATTAGCCATTCAGGTACGTAACGGCGAAATTGGTGCATTCAGTGAGTAACGAGTTGCGAAATCGCGTAAAAGGGAACGTGAAATGGACGATTCGGACCACGAAATGGACGACAAAATGGCGCATGATGTAAGTGCTAATTTGTTTGTAATGTAGTCAATTCTACGAGCTGGATAAAAGAAAATTATTAAAATAATAAAGGTGTGGAGTGAGAAAGTTGCAATCCTACAAATATCACTCTTTATTGTTACTTTATATTGGGTTAATCGAAGTTGACTTTGATTCACCCATAGGCCATATTGCGGACAAATTTGCACTTGCACATAACTAAATATAAAAAACTGATATATTATCGAAGCATTAATCAAATAATCCTACTCACCACTTTTCCTAATCGAAATGTGTGAATTAACTTGTGAATTAACACTAATTAATATCTAATTATTAAATAGAAACAAAACTAAAGAAATCAAAAAAATGACAAATGACAAGAAGAAAAAATTAACTGTCAAATCCAGCCTACACAAAATAGCATACTGTCTAACTTTATTTTAATACTTAATAGCTAAATTAACAATATTAATGAAATAAACAATTTTCTACAGCTATATTTTGAAAACATAATTTTTGTAAAAAATTGAAAATTATAACAATTTACTGAACGTACTTTAAAATCGGAACGCACCTCTCTTATCGACTGGGCGGCAAATATGACAATTCCAATGTCATTCACGTCAATTTGGTTTTGACGTTTCGCGGTTCGGAGATAAAGTGAGGTTAACAACAACAAACTAAACCATCGATTTATTCGAATAAATTTAAGATTCAATGCTGAAAATGACGGCCGATATTGTAAATGGAGCTCAGTTACCCATGTTCATGAATAAGAACATACTAATTACGGGATTCGTCACCGAAAAAGCCTCGAACGGTTTATGGTTCGAAATGCGAACGACCGATAATCAAATTGTTAGAATCAATTTGAAAAGACCAATTGATCAATTGCTGGAAGGATATGTAGAGGTATTTCGTAGTTTATTATTCTTATTAAATTAGGTGAAGCGTTATTTTAAATTTTCTTCACCAGTTTACGATTCGTGTAATGCATTCGTGAAACTGTCATATGTATAAATTACTTGCTAAAATCTGTTGGACTGCTTTGTTTTTGTTATATGTAGTGACCTTTAACTAAACTGGTAATTGGTAATTGAAGAATTGTTAGATTTTTTACTCATTTTATTTTTATTTTAGGTACAAGGTGTTTCTACGGGCAAAGGAGTCAATGCGGAAGGATACATAAATTTCGAGAACCCGAAATTCGATGCCCAAGCTTACAATACTCTCTGTTCGATGTTGCAGTCGTTGCCCAATTTGTGGAATGTGAAGTAGAAATTCGAATATTTATATCGGGTGTTTTAAGTTTATATAATTCTTAGGATAATAACTATTTTTCGAACAAGTAGTGTATAATTAAAATGTTGATGAAATAAATATTTTTTACATTTATTCGCTTAGTTTTATGAAAACTTAATAATTTATGACCTCATCGTATAATGACATTTTTGACATTTTTTAGAATGTCATAATGACACTTATTACCGCACTAGTGATGTAATTTTTAGAAAACTCATGCAAAAAGTAAAAAAAAAATAACTAGAATTTAATTTATGAGAGGGAATATCAGAGGGAATTTCTTCATCTGAAGAAATTATTACCTTTTTTTATTAAATCTTTTTTCTAGAAAATTTATATTTAAAATGACAAATATGTTTGACTTGTAACCTTAGCTACGAAAATTGAAAAACATCATCACTCGTTTTTTAAATAAAAATTAATAATTTTTTTATTATATTATAATTTGCATATAATTTGGTTATTATGACATGATAATAGATAAAATCACCTACTGCTCGTTCTGCAAATTTCAGACTCGTGCTATAATGAAGTGCATATTCCATGTATAATATAAATGGCTATTAAAATCTCTAACACTTTATCAAGTTAACAAAAACCTAGCTCACTTAAAATTTTAACTAACTTTAGCACAGTGTAACAGGAATAACTACAGACGTGAGATTCACGATGTGCAATCGTTCAAACTATTCGAAAATTGCGCATATCGCGTGTCCAGCTATTCCTTTCGAACTGTATCTACCAAAGAGCACCATTCCGAAACAGCATCGGCATCACAAAAGATCATTAAACACCCGATATCCTTCGTTTAAAGCCCTCTATCTAGAATGTCTTCTCGATTGTTACCGTAATCCGATCACCAATTAGTTTCTACATCCCATATCATACGGCTAGTTTAAGGAAATCCGATGATGAATGGGAGATTCTAATGAGATCGCAATGAGCGCGATGGACAGGGAATAATTCAGTTATTAATTATCAACGAAATATAATCAAATTTCGAGGATATTAAAGGAAATAACGAGCATTAATTAGCAGAAACGAGACCTTCCGGTTTACTTTTTCCAAACCAGATCGCAGGTATCAAAGGGACCCAAACCGCATTCGGAATAATTTCCCCTCGGCGCTATCTCTGAGCAATTCCTGCGGCACAATGGCGAGTTTGGCAAACACTCACACACACACACACACACACCGGTCGCCATCGATCCGATACCCTCTTACTTAGGAATCTTGTCATGCGGTTAGGGAACGTTGTTAATTTTCTGGCAATTGCCACGGATGATGTGTTATTAAAGTTAATCAGGATGTTGGGATCCCGTCTAGCGGGACGTGCGGGAGATATTCCATTTCCGAACAACTTTTCGTTCGACGCTGATTCGATTTCGCGTTGCTCAATGGCTCGGAGACGTTTTTGCGGCCGATCGACAATTCAATATCGGAAACGTTTTTATCGTTAAGGAATTTTCACCGAGGAAAAAAAATCCAACTGGGTGGCTGTCGGTCGAGCTCGCGCAGCGAGACCTACGCGAATTCCAACGAGGAACCTTGTTCGTATGATTTAATATTGGAAACACAAGGTAGTTTAACTAAGACAGTTAAATAACCAAGATGGAATTACGCTCGCTGCGCGAGCTCGACTTATTCGCTGTACAGGGTGTCCGGATAAGGGTATGGAGCGGCTGTATCTCGACAATGGTAAGGCCTAGATATTTGAGAAAAAAATCTTGATCGATAAAGTGGACTAAAAAAATAGCTGGAAATTATTTTCAAGTTCGTAATTTGACCGCTAGGGGATATAACTGCGATGATGAGATATAAAAGTTGGGTTATCTCGGAATGTAAGACAGTGAGCTATAACTTTTAGAACATCATATGAGTGCTTGGATAATACCGCATAATTTTGTCCTTAGACGTTTTTTCGTATCTGTTATAATAAGAGAGGAAGAGGCAAATGCATTTTTAGAACTTCACATTTTTATAACTCCTGAACCAATGAACCAAATTAAATTTAATTGGTCTCGTTTACAGAGGTTTTGGTGGTCTTTTCAAAGAAATTTTTTCTTATACGATTTAGTTTAAAACAAATAAACTAGAGGGCGTTATCTGAAACGGTTGCATATTTTTGTGATTTTTGAAACAAAGTTAAATGGAACGGTACTATTTTCTTGACAGGTCTAAAACCTTCATAAAATTTGTCAGACTTTAGTGAAAACCGCATCGCAATATCTCCATCCATTCTCAAAATATACCAATAAATGTTATAAATTCGAGTACTTCAATCGAATCAATTTACCCTCGCGATAAAAATAAGTAACATAATTATGGTTATCGATGTATTTTAAATAAATAAATAATTAAATAAATAAATCAACAAATCAACAAATTAACAAAGTAACAAATTAACAAATTATCAAATTATCAAATTATCAAATTATCAAATTATCAAATTATCAAATTATCAAATTATCAAATTATCAAATTATCAAATTATCAAATTATCAAATTATCAAATTATCAAATTATCAAATTATCAAATTATCAAATTATCAAATTACCAAAGAAAAAATTTAACGTAACAAAAACAAACGTATGTTGCGATTGTAATGCGCCGGAAAACCATCGAGCTGGACAACCATAAGCTGAATTATTGGGCCACATATTTTTAACCAAACTCTTAATGGAGAAAGGTTTTTGGAATTTTTAAGAATGTTTCTTCCACGACTTTTGGAAAACGTTTCTTTGGAAACAAGAAGGAACATGTGGTTCCAGCTCGATGTTGTCCGGCGCATTACAATCGTAACGTACGTTTGTTTTTGTTACGGTAAATTTTTTCTTTGGTAATTTGATAATTTTTTTATTTGTTACTTTGTTAATTTGTTGATTTGTTGATTCATTTATTTATTTAATTATTTATTTATTTAAAATACATCGATAACCATAATTATGTTACTTATTTTTATCGCGAAGGTAAATTGATTCGATTGAAGTACTCGAATTTATAACATTTATTCGTATATTTTGAGAATGGATGGAGATATTGCGATGCGGTTTTCACTAAAGTCTGACAAATTTTATGAAGGTTTTAGACCTGTCAAGAAAATAGTACCGTTCCATTTAACTTTGTTTCAAAAATCACAAAAAAATGCAACCGTTTCAGATAACGCCCTCTAGTTTATTTGTTTTAAACTAAATCGTATAAGAAAAAATTTCTTTGAAAAGACCACCAAATCCTCTTTAAAACGAGACCAATTAAATTTAATTTGGTTCATTGGTTCAGGAGTTATAAAAATGTGAAGTTCTAAAAATGCATTTGCCTCTTCCTCTCTTATTATAACAGATACGAAAAAACGTCTAAGGACAAAATTATGCGTTATTATCCAAGCACTCATATGATGTTCTAAAAGTTATAGCTCACCGTCTTACATTCCGAGATAACCCAACTTTTATATCTCATCATCGCAGTTATATCCCCTAGCGGTCAAATTACGAACTTGAAAATAATTTCCAGCTATTTTTTTAGTCCACTTTATCCATCAAGATTTTTTTCTCAAATATCTAGGCCTTACCATTGTCGAGATACAGCCGCTCCATACCCTTAACCGGACACCCTGTACATACCTTCTAAGCAAAGACAGTTAAATTTTTCACCAGTAAAAAAATTCAGCAATGGTCGAGCTCGCGTAGCGAGACTTTCGCGAATTCGAATGAGAACCTTGTATGATTTAATAGAAAACTTTGTGGTGTTGTATAGTAGATGTAAGGAGACATAATGAAGTTCAGTAGAGTGATGGCACTCCTGGGAGACTTTTACAGGCGACCCCTGCGCTTGCTAACTCCTAACTTTTCTTGCAGACGGTTTGTTTTCGTCTCCTCCTAGCGATCATCATTCGTTGTTCTGGCTAGGATTGCGTATAAAAATTATCATCGCAATTTTTTGTGTATACTGGAGATGTGCAGGAACTAGAAACTTTCAGCCTCGCATTCGCGGTCTCGCCGGATATTTCAACAATTCCGAATAACAAAATTTTTAGAGCGATTGGGAATTTTTGTGTATCATTTTCGGCATTTCTCGCATATCGTGAATCATTTTTAACGAAGTATTCGACAATGTTTTTATCATTAATTCGTCGGTCCAGTAAGTGTTAAATTATGTAGTGATACTTGAATAATATTTATATAAAATTATCGCTTCGAACAATATTATTTCTCTTATTGATAGCTAGTTTTATGTAAGAGTTTATATAAGAGCTGTCGTTGGCAAAAAAATGGACTGTGAAGTTTCGAGCGAGGGATCATCCAAATCGGGCTCTATTCCGGACAAAGATCATAATTCAGATGACGAAATCCAGACATCAGATAATGAAATAAACGAAATAAGGGACATAGAATTAGAAGTTAGTGATATTTCAATATTCGAAGTAAGTATTTACCTGCAATATCCCAACTTTACTAGTCACAAGTTTCCAAATTTTAGTTAGAAAACAACAGCGAAGATTATGAAACTAACATGATCATAAACAACAAATCCGAGTGTAAAGAAATTTTACTTGAAATCAACGAACTGAAATCGATCGTAGACGAGCAATACAACAAAGTGAGATTGTACGAATCTAACTATGAGAAAATAATATCTGAGCGTAAAAACTTCCAAGATAAATTAGAAAAAGAGCAGCAAAATAACGAGATGTTATTATCGGAGAAAGAAGCCTTCTCGGCCGAGAAAAGAGCCTTGGAAAACGATCTATCAGTAAGTGCGAATGAGATTTATGCCGGGTAAATTTTAACAATTTCCGTTTTAAGAACGTTAAAAGGCAATTGGAATTGGCCGAAGAAGAGATACAAATTAAGGACGAGGAGTTAGAAAAACTAAGGACTCACCAAACTAGCAACGAAGAGCGCATAATAAAATTATCCAAGCAAAAAATGGAACTCGAGAGAGAAACTCAAAACCAAGCAGACGAGATAATTAAATACGTAGCGCAAATGCAATGGCTAGAAAAAATCAAAACCAAAATGGAATTGTCGATAATCAATTTGAATAAAAGAGCTGACATCAAAAACCAGGAAATCGAAGATTTGAAAGAAACCTTTCAAACCAAAATCAAAAGTAAGTTATATTGATATAGATGTGCTCATATTATTCTACTATTATTCATTAGGCTATGAAGAGCAACTCAAAGAACACGAGAAAATAAACGAATTGTGTCGAAAAGAATTGAACAATTTAGAGAAAAAACTAAAAACACCCGAACCGTCTGAACTAAAAAGAATGAAAAACGAAATGAAGAAAATGAAAATCCTCATCAAAGACTTGCAATTGGAAGTAGACCAGTATAGAACCAACGTTTCGAGTAAGCACATTTCCCCAACATTTCCACCTAATTCTTCAATCCCTTTCACGCAGGCGAAACTATCATACAACAAATGAAAAACCAGCTGCAAGACTTGGAATGCGCCCGAGCCATAGCTGTCAAAGCCAAGCACAGCCTCGAAACCGATCTATTCGACATGCAATTCCAACTGGAAGAAACCATAAAGCAGAAGAAGATCGAGGAAGATCGCGTGGCCAGCTTGATGCGCGAACGCACCGATCTGATGAATTACATCGACGAAAACGAGGAGGAAATCAACGAGATAATCAGGAAATTCGAAGAAACCAAAAACGACCAGAAGAAAATCGGCCTGGCGAAGAAAACCACCGGCGACGCCTCCGGCATACCAGCCAAAACTGGACCGCTGGAGAATATCAAAGACTGCGAACCGGACATTAAAAACTTGATATTATGGAAAGTATATGAGTAAAATTATTGGAACATTTGGAAAAGTTGTAGGTATGCTGAATATTGGTGGTAATTATTTTAGGTATGAATTGCACGTGAACGAGCTGATATCGAAACTAAAAGTCGAGCAAATGAACAAAAGCAGATTAGAAATACAAAACAAGCGATTGAAAGAGGCGCTCGAGCGGGTGAAAAACGACCTGATGGACTCGAAAATGAAGGAGCAACAGAAGCAGGACCAATTGTGGAAACTCCAACAGCAATTAAAGTAAATTACGATAGAATCTTTAATATCACAGTTTTTATTTTAATCCGTTTGTCGCTTCCCTCAGAGACATCAAAGAGGAGTTCAACAAGAACGCCGTGCTCGTTATGAAAAAGGAGGAGATGCAGAAGCGATGCGAAATCCAAGAAGTCGAAATTTCCGTCATAAAAAACGAATTGAAAGTATATTCACAAAGAATCGACGAATTGCAGGCCGCCCTAGAGGAGCAATTCGATAACGTCGACGCGGAAAATTCGGACAGGTAAGCATACGAAGCTCCCATTAACAAGAATTAATTAGTTTTATAACGTTTTCGTTGTCGATTTTAGCGAACCGGAGCGCCCCTCAACGACATCGGATCCCGAATATATTATTTATAAAAAATTCACGCAAATACAATAGTCCATATGAAAATAAGAAGCCAGGGAAAATCTGTGAAACTGAATTATTTTCCATCAATGCTTTGTTAAATGTAAAATTTGAGAATATTTTAATAAATGTAAGTTGTTTTGAATAAGGTTTAAATATAAATTATATCCACGCATTAGTTGTTACTTTTTAAAAAGCCCACCTCTAATACATGCTTATAATAATTTATTATTACAGTGCAAAACAAATATCAATACACAATCATCCTTTTAAAAATAAATATACAAAATAGATTAAGCTTAATACCTGCATAATTTAATTTAATGTTAACAAAAGGGATGGTAGAAAATGTTAAAATTTCACTATGTATTTTTTAAGGGTCAATTTTACACTATTTTTTTACTTGCACTGTAAATATATTTCAGATGATAAAGGAATTTGATGATTAATTATAGTGAGCCCCTGAATACGGCCGCCGTTTAGAAACGTGAAACAGATACCCCTAATTTTCAATTTGTTCCTGTCATTTTGCCCTTTGACAATTTTAGAAAATTCTTTTGTAAACTCTATAAAAGTTGTAAATTACCTATGACGCCTATGACACCTATGACGTTTTTTTATACACACGACTCGGGAAAAGACGAAGCTTATAACGCCTGTTCAGGCGCCCCGAAGCGTTTTTAGTAGGTAATTGTTAATGTTGGTCTTAAACCTCTGAAGGTCGTAACCAACTGGGAACACTTCTGATGGTAGTGTGTTCCATAGTGTCGCGGTTCTGTACAGAAAAGATTTCTGATACATAGAGGTCCTAGCTGTTGAAATGTGTACGGCAAACTGGTGTGTGCTCTCCGCTAGCCTTGTAGAACGTCCAAAGTGAGCACCAGGTGGAATAATGGAAGCAATGGCTGCAGAACACCTTCCGTGGTAATATCTGTAAAAGAGACTTAAGTCGCTAACCCTTCTACGATGGTCTAGTGTATGAAGGTTAGAGGTTAATGAGGGGTCATCAACCAGGCGCACTGCTCTTTTTTGAATGGAGTCTAGTAGGTGCAAGAAGTGCTTAGGAGCAGAACTCCAAGCATGAGAGCAATATTCCAATGCTGGACGAACTTGAGCCTTATAGAGTAACAGAAGCTGCTTTGGTGTGAACATTTTTCTGGCACGAAATAAGTAACTAAGCTTCTGGGCGGCTGATTTAGCTATGGTGGAAACATGTTCATGCCAGGTTGCATTTGAATTAATGCTGACCCCTAAAAGATGTAATTTATTAGTTGTTTTAATTGTTTGGTTATTCAATGTTAGTTGGGGTATGACGGAGGACGTCTTTCTTGTAAACATGGTTGCCTGGGTCTTGGAGGCGTTGAATTCAACCAGATTATCGGATCCCCACTTCAAAATAATTTGAAGGTCGTTGTTGATGGACTCAGCTTGCAAGAGCCTTTGGCGACTTGATTTAGATGCACTGACAGGTCTCTTGTTTGTAGTGGATGCTATGAGAGTGCTATCATCTGCGAAGCTGAGAATTTTGTTTTTGGTTGAATTTAAAAGATCATTTATGTGGATTAAGAATAGAGTTGGTGATAAAATCGATCCTTGAGGTACACCAGCGTTCAAAGAGTAAGGATCTGAAGTTGCACCGTCAACCACAACTTGAATTTGTCTCCTATGCAGAAAGCTCTCTATAAGTCCGCATAGTTTTTGGGGCAGACCGTAGGATGCCAGCTTAGATAGCAGTGCTTTGTGCCAAACCCGGTCGAAGGCCTTAGATATATCTAAAGCGACCGCTATTGATTCTCCGTGGTTCTCGATAACACTTGTCCAAATGTGTGTAACATAAGTGAGCAGGTCACCTGTTGAGCGACTGTGTCGGAAGCCGTACTGGTTGTCACTTATGAGACCATTCTGTTCTAGATATTTAACAACCTGCAAGTTAATGGCAGATTCCATTACTTTGGATAATATGGGTAGAAGGGCTATCGGGCGGTAATTTTGCGGAAGGCACTTTTTCCCTTTTTTTGGTATTGGTTGAACTCTTGCAACCTTCCATACAGATGGAAATGTCCTCTGCTCATAGCACAGCTTAAAAAGCCGACAGAGCCAAGGTGCGAGTTGGGTGCACAGTGCTTTAATACAATTGCAGGTATCCCGTCAGGTCCCATTGACTTTTTGCAGTTTAGTTGTTTCAGAATGCGGCGGATGTTACGTGTTTGAAATTTCAGTTCGGGCATTGAAACCTGAAACTTAGAAATATTAGGAGGTACCATTTGACCTGCATCTAGCGTTGAATTCTTTGCGAATAGTGCCGCGAAGAGGTCTGCCTTCTCTTTGGAGCTGGTCGCCAATGTGCCATCATCTTTAACAAGTGGTGGGAAGGTGGTATGGCAAAAATTGTTGTTGATAGCCTTAGCTAGTGACCAGAATGGACGCGAACCACTAGGACATTCTAAAAGCTTATTTGTTACCTTATTGTTAAATGCTTGTTTTGCTTGTTGGATAATCAGATTGCACTTATTTCTAAGTTGCATATATGTTTGTCGCGTTTCTTCCGACGGATTTGAGCACCACTCTCTGAACGCTCTATTTTTGTTAACGGACGCTTGCTCGCATTCTTTGTTAAACCAGGGTGTTGTGGATGGTGGTTTTTTGCGATTATGTGGAATATAGAGTTCCATACCTAGAAGGATTACCTCAGAGACAGCTTCAGCACACTGATTAACGTCTTTGTTCGCAAAGCAGGTAGCGCTCCAAGGAAACGCTGCGAAAAAGTCTCTCAGCTCATCCCACTTGGCTTTGTTGTAGTGCCAAACTAGACGACGAGCTCTGGGTTGGTCGACAGTCTCCACAATTAAGGGACATGATGCGGATAATAAGATGTGGTCTGAGTTGCCAAGTGGACTATGTGCCGTGATGTCATAGCTGTCAGGCTCTGAGGTTAGTTACAAATCTAACGTGTAAGATATTTGTTTTGCACCGACTGTAGATAGGTATGATAACATTGTACTGGAGCTGGGAGTTAATAAAAATAACGTACCGGTTACTAAATTAACAGTAGATTCTGTTAGAAAATTCAGTAGATGACTAGGAGATTTTTCATACAAAGAACGTCGCGGACTTCATAAATACGTGGATATATCTCGTGTGGCAGAAGAGGCGAATATCCGCGACGTGTGCCGGGAATATGTTAACGAAAAACACTCGAAATCGCCCGACACGAAATTCCTTTTTACCGCCCGTACGTTATGGGAACGTGTCATTCAAATGGCGCGACGGCCCCATCTGCTCGAGGGCGCACTTTGTGCGATATGTGTCGTTGTCTTTGCAGCCGTAGGGCGCTCTCGGAAAAGGAGGCCCTTCTGATGCCGTTACGGCCCGTCGCCCGAACGGATTCCGTTTTATCCTCGCATGTTTCGAATCGCCTCTTTATTTCGAGAACGATGCGGCCGTATTGTCGGGAAAATCAATAAGCGGTTTTTATTCGGCTGCCAGGAGCTTTCAAAGATTCATTTCGCTGAAATCTATGGGGTCTTCATTCGATGGTTTAAATAAAATTTACACAAACTGTATTCAAGATACGTGAACACTATTTTTAGCAGTTTTTTTGACCATTAGGTAAGAGAGAATAAGGTTCTTTAAAAACCTAGAGGGATCTACAGAAGTTCTGGTAAAACACTGGTCAAAATCCTACACCTATCCTCTTACCTAGCCCCAACCTTTACCACTTATCCTCGTCCTCTACCCCTACCTCTATTCTCAATTTCCTTTCTATACTTCCAAACGATCACAGATTTGTCCAGTGGTCCAACTGCATAGTCCCTTAAATTTTTTTAATAGAAGGTGGTCCAATTGTAAAACTCCGAAACGGAGCGATCGTGTTAAAAATAGGATAATAACAGTTTACATGTAAAAGTTTAAAACGAGTATAGTTGTTGTGATTGCTTATGCTATAGGAGATTAAAAAAACTGCTTACCGCAGTGCATGGTAAAAACAGGATTTTGGCAAGCCGTCGGAATTTTTAGGGACGGTAAAAAAGTCGCAAAATCGCGCGCAAACGGCCATAGTAAGAAACTTACGTTACATTACGGCGTCAGTCGATGCCAAATCGGCTAAATATTCCTGCTACAAACAAAACGGAGTCCGTACAGTTTGCCAAGAATACTTTTATTGGCGTCTATTATCGCGCAGGCAGGACCAAATAATGGCTGTAAAATCGCGACTGTTGTAAAATAACGTCCTAATTTGTAAACGTAAAGTTCCATCAAAGTTATTAGTTTCTTGAAAAAAAAAAATAGTTCATTCGCACACGTATCTTACACAATAATTTATTACTCTAGAAGTTTTGCGAATAGACTATATTTCAAAAAGATTTAATATTCGCTACTTACTGAATGTTATATAATTTATTTACGATGCCTAATGCCTATAATAAACTTTGAAATAATTAATACATAATAATTATTTATTTATATATTCATATATTTATAAAGCAGTTTATATAATAAATTAACGAGATTCTACGACTATCTACAGGGTGTTTCTTAATAACATATACTTAAAGCTAATACTTAAGGGGGTAATTCTTGGACTCATTTTAAGAAAAAAAAAACTTCATATGAACCTATGTCTTAAACGTTTTAACTTTTCATATACCTAAAGGGTGTTAAAGTTTCAAGAAAAGAATCAATTTGTTTTTGTCATTTCCATGCCATTTTAAATATTTTTATGAAATTTGGTTTACGGCGTTTATTCATTAAAGAGCATTTATTAATCTAAAAAGAATTTTTTATTTCCTAGAATGGCGTCCGTACTGGACTCATGTCAATTGTTATTGAGAGAACAAATGGTACGCCACTGCTTTCTCTTGAAATAAAAATTATTTTTGGAGGCTCTGTTAATTTAGAACAAATTTGATTTCTTGATTGATTTTTTTTCTTAAAATGCGTCCGTGAAACACCAATTTAAATATTAGCATGTTATTAAGAAACACCCTGTATAGTAATATATCTTTATAATTCCGAACTCCGAAAAAGTATTTTTAAAAATTTTATTTATTTTATTTAAGGAACAAAAACTAATGGTCTTAATCGAAACAAGTCTATATTCAATCTGAATTTACAATATCGGAATTAAGGTGAATAAATGCATATTGTCCACTCAGCAATTGATCGAACATCG